TGAATCTCCATCTGACTGTTATGTGAGGTGTAAAGTGACTGCGCCAAATCCAAAGGAAGGATCCAGAGGCAGAGCTACAACCAGGCTGGCCAGATATTTTCTCACCCCATCCTGACCTTGCATGTTTGACACCAGCCTAGGGCTTGCCATTGCAGGGATTGCAGATAAATGCCGGATGCTTTGTGCTTTCAGCAGCTCTGGCTGCATTACATGGGAACACAGATCCCTTTTCTAAGGGGTGCTTGCCCTAGAACCACGGAATCACAGAATACTCTGAGCTGGAAAGGGCCCACAAGAATCTTGACTTCACACAGCACCACCACCCAAAATCCAAACCCAACGTCTGAGAGCATTGTCAAAATGCTCCTTGAACTCCAACACCTGGGGCCGTGCCCACTGCCCTGGGCAGGCTGTTCCATGCCCACCATCCTCTGGCACAGACCCCGTCCCTCACCCCCAGCTGCCCCTCCCCTGGCACAGCTCCATGCCGCTCCCTCCGCCCTGTCGCTGTCACACAGAGCAGAGCTCAGCGCCGCCCTCCGCTCCCTGTGAGGAGCTGCAGCCGCCATGATGCCTCCCCTCAGCTCCTCTGCTCTGCGCTGAGCAAACACAGGGACCTCAGTTGCTCCTCACACACCTTGCCCTCCAGAGCCTTCCCCATCTTTATAGCCTCCTTTGGATGCTGTCCATTAGTTGTATGCCCTTTGTGTCTTCGCCCTTCCAGTGTGACAGCAGTCACTGCTAGCACTCCATCACTTCCTATGACTGTGTCCCAGTGCTGCTGTGACAGAAACCCATGCTGCTGATGTCAGGTGGGCTCTACTGCCAGAGCAGCTGCAAGAGGAGCTTGGCCAAACCTGGGCCGGTGTCTGTGCCTGGTATAAGGTCCTCACGGTACAACAGTACAACATACCAGATGCAGCCATAGCTGTGTCAGTTTACACCAGTGCTTGTATTGATAGTTTTTTTTCTCTGTAGATAATACAGTCAATTTTCCTTTACTTCTGCCTTTAGAAAGAATGTAAATCACCGTAGTTAAAATCACTGGGCCTTGTAAAAACCTGCCTGTGCCCAGAAAACCAAGCGTCAGAGCTTGCCTAGAGCTGAGGAAGAAGTGGCATCTTTTTCAATAAATTTACATCTCTAAATAGATGATAAGTGTTGAATCAATTTCCATATGTTTAAAATAGCAGAGCATTAAGTATTCTGGCACTTCAAGCAATCAGCTAATTTGGGACTATTATGAGAGTATCTTTTACACCAGCAGAGCAATTCATCTGAAAATCAGGAACAGTCTGCATCTCTTTGCCCTTTCAGTACCATAAAGGACAGCAAATTGTCAAGAAATCCTATTTGTTTGTCTGAAGAGTCTATGGTGTCTTATGACATTCAGGTCTTCACAAAAGCAAACATTCCATCTCTTAATAAAGCAAGTGATAACACACCCCCATTTGCCAATGCAGGCTGCACGGGTCCATTGATAAGCAATAATCAAAGCGTAGCCAACGATACGCAACAGCAATGCAAGCATATGCTTCCTGATGAAAGCAGCAAGAGCTGAGCCATGCCAACCTCTCTGCACGAGGCAATGTGTGAAGGCAGAAGCTGCCTGGTTTCTCCACCCTTACCCCCAGACTGGCCACATCCAGCTGCTTGGCTCCGAGCACAGCTCACAGTTCTCTGCTCCTGCCAGCACGTCTATAGCTGAGATGAAACAAACATTGTTTTCCAAAGGTCACTGAGCATTAAAGGTGTATGCAGCCTGTGCTTCAGAAAGCCTCAAGGAAAGTAAACATCTTTTAGAATCAGCCAGTATTTTTGACCTGGATGAAGTAGGATGGAGATCTCATGATGGACTTCAAAGGCCAGATTAAAGGGGAGATGGATGGAAATATCTTCAGAACTTCCAGTGAAATGATCCACAGTGTCACCCACAGTTTGCTGAGTAACTAAAGATTTCCACATTGCATTCCAGCATGCTGCTCACAAATGCAATGTGCCATGTATTTCATAAATGCAGCCTGGAGACATAGCACTGACATTGCACCACTTTGCCTCAGCGTGGTACAACTGCATCGTTGTATCCCTCTCACACTTAGCACACCATCCTCCAAAATGCAGGGACTTGGATGAGGACAAATTTGGGGTGATTTGATGATTTTTTTTAAGTTCATGTCCTGGAGAAGGCAGCACCACTGGGGAAAGCTGCTCACTAGCGAGTGGATTTTCCATAGTTCACATCTTCACTGTTCATTTGTTGACTTCTTACTGCCAAAACAATAAGATCAGCCAATGACTTCAAAGGAGGATATCAGGATTTGGGGGAGCAGTGGGATCCTTATTTTCTACAGATTTCTCACTCTTTTGTGGTCATTTAGAGCTTGCAAAACTACGTATTTCTATCCTTAAAGATGAGAAAAACGATATGAGTCTGTGGGAAGCTGAGTGTCCTGAGAAGCAGGGCAGGCAGGTGGAGAATAATCTGTGAGATATCAGCCAGCTGTGAGAATGGTTCAGCATGGCACAGCCATTAAGGGTGCATCTCCAGTAATTTGCTGGAGCTCACCCCGCTGCCCTTTCTGCATTTAGACCGCAGCAGAAGGGTGAATAATGAGGGCCACAGGAGGACAAGCGGGTTACTACAGCTGGCCAGGCAAATTAATGCAAATTACTTGGCTGTTCACCAAAAGTAGGCCAAAGAGGGCTCTTCATAAGAAAAATAAAGGCAAAATAATCTTGGAGGTGGCCAGTCCACAGGCTGAATGTGTTGGATTCCAGACCTGTGGGAGGCCTCCGTTTCTTCAGCTTGTACAGCTTTCTACCCATCTCCTGAATCTTTCCCCCAGATCACCTAATGTCTTCATGTCCTGGCAAGTGCAAACCCCTCACAGTGTTCCCTCCCCCTCACTAAGGCTGCTGGCTGCCGGCCTTCTGGCCTGTGCCCATCACCGAGGGGAGGGCTGAGGTTCTAGGTTCTGAATTCTTTGCAAACCTCCCTTCTTCACCTCCTCCAGTCTGTGCAAACTGCAGAAAATTCGTTTATCTACTCACGATTGCTGCTGTCTTGTACCTTTGATCTGACATGTTGGGAACCATGCTCCATAGTATTGGGATTGACACTCTTTAATATCTTCATATTGTGTCCAGTTCTGGCCACCCCAGTTCAGAAAAGACAGGGCTCTCCTAGAAGGAGTCCAGCAGAGGGCCACAAAGATGATAAAGGGCATGGAGCATCTCCCTTATGAGGAAAGGCTGAGTAACCTGGGTCTGTTCAGCCTAGGGAAGTCAGAGGGGGGATGTGATTAATGTTTATCAATATCTAAAGGGGGGTGGGAGACAAGTGGCCAGGCTCTTCTCAGTGGTGCATAATGACAGGACAAGGAATAATGGCTTAAAATTTGAACATAGGAAGCTCCGTACTAACATGTGAAAGAACTTCTTTATGGTAAGGTTGACAGAGTACTTGGAACAGGCTGTCCAGAGAGGTTATGGAGTCTCCTATGGAGATGAATTCAAGACCCTGCCTGTGTGACCTGCTTTAGTAGGGGGCTGGACTCAATAATCCCTTGAGGTCCTCTCCGACTCCTGCTATTCTGTGACTCTGAGATTCATCAGTGACATCAAACTAATGAGGTTCAAAAAAAACAAAGTATAAGATTTTTTGCTCTGGTTGAGGTAATCCCAGATATGCACACAAACTGGGAGAAGAACTTGAGAGTAGCCCTGCTGAGAAGGACTTAGGGGGCCCTGGCTGATGAAAAATTTAACATGAGACAACAGTGTGTCCTCGCAGCCCAGAAAGCCAACCATACCCTGGGCTGCATCAAAAGAAGTGTGGTCAACAGATTGAGGGAGGTGATCCTGCCCCTCTACTCAGTGTTGGCGAGGCCTCACCTGGAGTACAGTGTCCAAATGTGGAGTCCTCAGTGAAGGACAGACATGGACCTGTTGGAGCGTGTCCAGAGGAGGGCCACAAAAATGATCCCAGGAATGGAACACCTCTCCTATGAGGACAGGATGAGAGGGCTAGGGCTGTGCAGCCTGGAGAAGAGAAGGCTGCGGGGAGACCTGGGAGCAGCATTTCAGTATCTAAAGGGGAGCTGTGAGAAAGGAGACATTTTCATAGCCTGCTGCAAGGGCACTGGTGTGAAGGGCAACAGAAGCCGGCACAAACACATACAGAAATAAGCAAGGCCACCGCATATTAACGTCTATGCTGTCAGACATGACAAAGGCTTTGCAGAACATGCTGCATTAAGGCATTTAACATCTCAGTAAAACCTGCTAGCTTCCCTATCCCATGGAAGGGAGATAACAAGCGCAGTACAGATCAAAGTGGTGTTTTAAGGGATAAAAAGGTGTTCATGTGGGGCTTTGAAGATGCACAGAAGCCATAGGCACGGGCACTGTGTGGGACACGATCTGTTTGAAATTGCCATTGCTGATGGATACCAAACGCTGCATCCTACCTGGATTTGGGAGGGTTGTGTGCGCACAGTCCTACCAGCACCATGGGGTCATTTGGGGTTTTCTGCTGGGTGCCTGTCTCCTTGGGCAACGGCAGCGGGATGGGGTTCCTTTGTGCGCGTCTCACTCCGAGAGCCCCAAGCCCTGCTCGCCTGCCCAGCGGGGTGCGACGGGCCCAGGCCAAGCGCCCAGAGGAGCACCACAGGCTGCGGGAGCTGACGGAGACGGGGTGTCACGTCAGACTTCCCGGCGTCACGGGACGGACGGCGCACCGCGCCCGGTGCTGCTGCCGACCGGAGCCGCACGCACCGCTCGGCTCGGCGCGCCTCGCGTCCTCCCGACAGCCCCGCATCCCGGGTCGGCGCCGGCAAGACAGAAGCGAGCCCGAAGCGCGGGCTCTGGGGGGCGGCGTGCTCCGAGGAACCCCCTCCCTCGCAGCCCGCCGGGGGGCGGCCAGGCCCGGCCCACCGCCCGCCGCCTCCCTCCCCCCCCTTCCCCGCGGGCCACCCCGGCACCTCGGCGGGGCGGGGGCGGGCGCGGAGCGAGGAGCGCGGCGGCGGCGGCGATGGCTTTCGAGGCGCTGGCGGAGGCTGCGGAGCGGTGGTGCGCCCGCACGCCCTTCCAGCTCATCGCCGCCGAGGAGACGGAGCGCCGCATGGACTTCTACGCCGAGCCCGGCGTCTCCTTCTACGTGCTGTGCCCGGAGGCCGCCTGCGGCGACAATTTCGTGAGTGACCGCGGGTGGGGAGGGGGGAGGGGGGAGGAGGGAAGTGTTAGAGCCGTGCCCGGGGGGCTCCGGCCTCGGGGGCGGGTCCGGGGGGCTGCGGGCCGGGGGAGCCCTCCGTGCGAGCGCCGAAAGCTGCAAGATGGAGTCGTTGGCCGGTGCGGGGCGGGCAGGGCACGGACAGCCCCCCCGCCTCCCCTCGGCCCCCGGGGGCGCGGGGCGCGACGCCCCCCCGCGAACACCGCTCCCCAGCCCCCTCTTCTCCCAAAGCTTCCGCCGTGCCGCCCGGCTTCGGCCGGGGGCTCGCGGGGCCGTGTGGCAAATGGAGAATGGGCAGGGATAAAATGGAGTCGGGATGACAGCAGGGCCGTCCCCGCTGCGCCCCGGGCAGGTGCGGCCCCTCCCGCCGGGCCCCGCCGAGTTGGGCGGCGAGTTGTGGTGCCGGGGTGTCCGATCGCGGCCCCCGTCCCCCGCGGGGAGAGCCTCCTCGTCGCTGAGGGTGTCCCGCGGCCGTAGAATATCCCGAGTTGGAAGGCAGCCTTAAGGAACATCGGGTCCGTCCCCGGCTCCTCGCTCGCGGGTGCGGAGCGCCGGTTGGGTGCAGCTGAAGGACTGCGGCTCCGATGGCTCCCGGCACGGCGTTGGAGCTGCAGCTCGCGCTCTTCCTGCGGTAACTTCCACCTCCAGTCCTGTTGGGAAATACTGACGAATTCCCAACCCGGCAGGTGAGCGGAGAGGGGTTTGGTGGCCGGGTCAATGAGACAAAGAGCAGCCAAGCAACGCCTCTGGGAGTGCAGGTCCCGGTGAGCAGGATGTGTGCTCGCCATGTTGCACTGGATCCTGAAGGAAGCGACCCAGGATGAGCTCTGCTTCGGCCCGGAGACGTGTGGGACCCCTGTGCCAGGGCAGCCCCGGTGTGACCGGTGCCCACCTGCAGCAGGGGCCGTGCTGGGCCATCACAGAATCGCAGAATGGCCAGGGTTGGAAGGGACCTCTAGGATCATGAATCTCCAACCCCCCTGCCACAGGCAGGGCCACCAACCTCCCCATTCAATACTAGACCAGGCTGCCCAGGGCCCCATCCAATGAGCACCTCCAGAGACGGGGCATCCCTCTCTGGGCAGCCTGTTCCAGCACCTCACCATTCTCTTGGTAAAGAACTTGAGGCCTTGCATGAGTCTGGCAGCAGGACTGGGCTGGTTGGGAAGGACTCCCCATCTGAAGCCAAAACCAAGCAGAGGGGCTACATTTCTGTTTTATGGCATTACCACTCAAGGTACTTTTCCTGCTAACAAGACTTTCAAGGTAGGCGGATAGGTAGAATGCTTAATTCTTTTCCTGTTGATGATGTCTCCTTAATGCGATTAAGAACTGCTGATGAGGTGGTTCACCAGCATCGTTCACTGCTGCCATCATTTCTGCTTCGAGTGCACTGTGGGCCTTCAGTTATGCTCCTAGCTCAGCTATCTTGGTTTGCTGCCTTTTTACAACTCTGTCCTACCCTACCCTACCCTATCCTATTTTTCATGTTAAAAATATGTTTGCTTTCTACATGCAATTACATGCTGAGCTTTATTTTAAGAAGACTTAATGTGGGCTATGGGGCTGATTCTCACTTGCACCTGAGCCCCTTGAGTTGCACGGCTCTTGTAAGATGGAAGAGCATGACAGAGAAAGAAAATAGAATCAGTGGTAGACTTTGTGATGTTTTAGTCTTACAGGTCTTACAAAGGAGCCTTACATTTAATCAGCATCTGGTGCCTGGTATTCTTGTTCTCTTTCTTTATGTCCTCATTTCATAATAATGTGACTTAAAAAACTATGTAGGAGGTGCCAGTGAAGTCCATGATAACTCACTTGCGAGGAGGAAATTATGAGCATGCTGAGTTTAAAAGAGAGGGGGAGAAAGACAGGGAAAGGTTGCCAAGAAGCAATCTGGGAGATAAAAACGGGGTCTTGTGTAAAACCTGAGATCATAAGGATCATATGATTTTAATTTCCCGGAAAGATGTCTCTGGGCTGGATCTTTCAGCATGCTAGGGGTGCAGATGACCCGTTTAGGAGCCCACAGGCACTGTCAGCACCTCCTGGATGCTAAAACTCATCCAATCAGTGTTTTGGACAGCTGAACTATGAACAGTTTAGCTCCTGAGGTTCATGGTGTTCTCAGAAGATTAATTGGACTTGTATAGCCATAACCAATGTGAGTCAGGGTTGAGGAGCTATTCCTTACAGTCTTGACATTTGTTTTGCCACCTGTTATTGCTGATATTCAAAGTAACTGATCAAGCAAATAAAAACATTATGCCACCTCGTTGCAAGATTTCCTGTAAATGTTTTAGAGCAGAGGTCACGAATTTAAATATTTTCCATACGCTGATGGTGAGAGGTGAGTGGTGTTTCAGTGTGTCTGTGTTTCCAGAGCCACAGTTTTAAATCTGCTGGCATGGAAATTGGTGGAAGCTTTACTTGCTTGTTGCCTTGTGATATCATTCGTATATCTCTTCAAAGGCTGAATGACGGATTGCTTAGGTTTTCTTCTTGTGCTCCATCATCTTATTCTCTGCTGCTGCTGGCACATTCCTGCTGGAGACTGAAATGTGGAGGCTACAAAGTGAAAAAGACTTTGTAAAAAACATGGTAGGATGACATGTGGTCAGCTTTCCCTGGGAAGCAAACTAGCTATTAGTTATAAGAGGGCAAGGCCTGATCTTCATGGATATGGAAGTCCCTGTGCATAGATCTCATAGCTGAAAGAAGCCACAATTTAAACAAGAACCAGGATGTTAACAGTCGTGATCATTACATACAAATAAACAATTACAGCAGTTTAGCACAAGACACAAACTGCTGACTTATAACACTCAGGCCTTACATTTGGCACAAAGATTAGAAGTAATAAAAAGGTTACTGCTTGAACATTAAGAAACTGTGAGCCAGACCTCCAAAATCTCCAGGCTGTTGTTACAATGTTGTGATTTGGAAAAGAGCTCACTGGTATTTTTAAAAGGGTTCATTTGAGTCCATTTAGTGTACTTCCTGCCTTTTTAGGCCATAACAATCCCAAAGCCAGAATTTTTTTTGAAACAGGAGCTGCTTGTATGTTTGTGGGACCGCAAGGCCCGTGGCTGTGAAATGGCATGGGGTATGGTGAGACCTGTAGTATGTGTTTCTGAGGGCTGCCAGACTGCCAAGAGATAACTCTGGGTGCCTGGAACAAGTAGAACCTACTCTGTAAGACAGGGATTTTTCTTAGCATACCATTTTGCTGTGGTTATGCAGGTTGAGTGAGGTCAGTAGCGAGGCAATTGCTGCTTTTGCCTTAAAGACACAACTTCAGTGATGTTAAGTAGTGTTTTTGTTAGACAAATGGAAAACTGCATCCCTGGCACACTGCTGAGCAGGGAGGCAGCATGCATGCCCTGGGTTGGGGATGAATGTGTGTGGTTCTTGCTCTTTCTCTGAGCATTAGTTAAGCTTCAAAGAAACCTCTCCTGTCCCCACTGAAGCATAACCTGCTGTTTAAAGCACAGTAAAAAGCTGCACAGCACTTTGGGGAAAAGAATTGCCATGCAGAAATAGAGGTCTAAGTGTGTCCAACAATTCTTGCAGTATTACACTTCTCTTTGTAAGAGAGTCCTGTGCACCAAGACTTCAGAGGAAAGGTCTTTAAGAGCGCGCATTAAATTGTGCTGTGAGCCACACTTGTGAGCAAAGAGCGGCGTTGTCAGAGTGCTTCCATCCATCAGCTCTCCATTTCAGACAGCCTCAGAGCAGCAGGAGCAGCAGCATTTTTGGGAGAGGCTTCACAAAGCCAAGCTGGGGAGCTGGTTCCTCTCAAGCAAGAGCAAGAGGAGAGGAATATCCCAAATGGGTTTAAATGTGTCTCCCAAGGCCTAGGGGGAACAGATCTCTAAGAGAAGATTCAGCAGCAGGTTATGCATAAGAAAGGAACACCCAATGTGACTTCCAGGTCTAAATAGGGCTAGTATCAAAGAAAACACCTCTGCTTGTAAAATGCATGTGCGTGGAAGGCATGTATCCTTTGCTGCCAGCACAGTCATAACGGATTTTCTCTCCCAGGTGGATTTCCCTGCCTTCCATTTCTTGCTGTCAATAAAATCAAAGTTCCTCCCCAAAAGCCTGATCTAAACTTGGGGGCTTAGGGTACTTTGGCTATTTATGATCCATCACCTTTTAAAAACCTGTGGAGAAGCCAGTGTGGGCCCATGTTAATGCCTCTTTCTTGTGTTGCTGTTGGCTTTTAGCACGTCTGGAGTGAGAGTGAGGACTGCTTACCTTTTCTGCAGCTCGCGCAGGATTACATCTCTTCCTGTGGGAAAAAGACACTCCATGAAATACTGGAAAAAGTCTTCAAGTCCTTCAGACCTGTAAGTGCCTCTGTTTTACTGCCAAGTGTTGTCAGTTGTCTGTGACTGTCAGTAGGCAGCACTGGATGGAGCAAAGCCACTTCCCTCCTGCAACAGCTTACTTCTCTCAGGCACTGGGGTGTTAGCATGTCAGCCTCTATCAGACAGTTGCAGATTTTAGGATGAGAGGGAATGGCCTTAAGTCGTGCCGGAGTGGCTCAGGTTGGACATTAGGAAAGATTTCTTCTGAGAAAGAGTGGTGAGGCAGTGGCACAGACTGCCCAGGGAGGTGGTGGAGTTGCCATTCTTGGAGGTGTTCAAGAACTGTGTGGATGTGGCACTGAGGGATGGTGCTGGTATGGTAGTGATGGGCTGATGATTGAACTAGATGATCTTAGAAGTCTTTTCCAGCCTTAATGGCACCATGATTCTCTTCTGTGCTTGGAAAGAAGCTGAAGCAGAAACTGGATTTTGTGGGAAGGAGGCTTGTGTTTGGCTGGTTTACTGCTACTCAGCCTTCCCTATCCTTTTCTAATGCCAAGATTTGGGTCGATGCCTGGATTTTGTCAGGGTGAGGTGACTGTTGGACTGGCCATTGTGCTTCATTTTTTTTCCCCAAACCTTCCTCTTGCACAGCCTCTCTTTTGGAAAGGATTGTTTAGATACAATAATTACAGTAAATTTAATAATTAAATACAATAATTGAAGCATGACTGCTGGTAACTCACTGATTTTGATGTGATTTGGGATGGGCATCTGGGCTGGTGCAGAGGAGGGTGGAGCTTCATTGCCAGGCCCATGCTTCACTTGACGTCCATGGCAAAGCTGATCAGAAACTCAACATGCAGACAGCTTTCCCTCCTCAGTTTTTCTGACTGGCTAATCACAAAGACTGAAAATTTACCCCAAGTATTTAGAGCGAGAGGGAGTGGTGTTAGGAAAACATGGGCCCTCCCCACGTTACACCCTTGTATTGCCATGGAAAGCCACAGCTGGTTGACATGAAAGGATGATTTTAATCCTTGAGAGACTGGAAATAAATAGAACAGATGCACACTTTTCTTAGAAAGGACTGGAAATCTGAACCTTCAGTGCAGCTGTTTGTAATTGTGAAAACATAGAAAAATATAAATATTCTTCCCAAGACAATATTTAGCTCTTGGTTATTTTCACGGTTGTTTTCTCCCACTCAGGAAAGCTGTGCCTTTGAGGAGATATTTGCATCATTTTAAATAAAGAGGACTTCAAGAGGACTTAATTGAATTGGTACAGATCAGTTACTTCATTTTAAACCACATTTATTTCAGTGTAGCTTAAGTTGCTGAGAAGTTGGCTTCAGTCAAACTGAATTAAGCTGTAATTTGGGATAAAAAAGTTCAAAGCTGAGGGAACCATGATGCTTGTTTAATCTGGGTGCTTTGTTAGCTTTTACCAGTGATTCCTATAGCCAAGCTCACAAGCAGTAGTTAAGCTGGAACACATCTTTACCAAGACATCCAGTCTTGATGTGAAAACTTCCAATGACTCAATGAGTGCAACGCTAATGGGCAATTTTCCTTCTAATGATTAGTTATACTCTTGTCCAAAAACTCTTTTAGTTATAATCTGATTTTTTTCTAAAATTGCTTGCTGTCTGTTGGATTTCACTGTGCTTTCATCTGCTCAAAAACACCCTCCATTATCGGAGCCCTCTAGCAGACTGCAGCCAAGTACCTCTTCATTGTTTCTGGGATGTACCACAAAGATTGTTTATGAGATTCTCCTTTCACTGAGTTACTGAGAGGTTTGCATCAGTGTAATGGAACTGATTTTACCATTCAGTGTATGGCTGTGTATTGACAGGTCTAATGAGAACTGTACTGATGTTTTTCCCTTACTGTAATTATTATAAATAGCAGACACACAGAATCACGGTTCACTTAAAAAGTGAAGTGTGGTATTATAGATAAATGGAAACAGCTATTGTATACCCTCATGACTTTATCAGAATGAAACCAGTCGGTACTGGGAAATGGTATCCTTGGCACTCCTTCCCTCCATCCTCTGTCCTTTCTATCCCAGACCTGTTTAGTTAATGAAATAGCCTTGCTGTGAGCGTGGAGGTAATGGTGCATTTACAGGATGTTTCTTCCCCAGTATCCAAGCAAAGCTCACTGTAAGAGGAAAATCCAACTGATTTCAGTTCAGAAAACAGCAGTGTAGGGAAAGCTGAAAATCAGATCACGCTTTTCTGAAGCACCCCATGATCTTGGGTACTCAGTCTGAGAGGCTGAGAAGGGAGCAGGTTTGTGGAGTTTGGTAAGCTCTTTCTGAGAGGTTCCTCAGTGTGTTTCCAGATGGACATCCAAGATGATCAGGCAGTTTTAAAAGTCTTAAGCAGGAAGTCAAAGGATCAGACAGAGGTGTCCATGTTTCTAAACACCTCCACGTGGAATCCCATCACACCAAGCTGAAGCACATCACCTCTGTACAGCATCACGTGGTGTGCTAAAGCTCTGTCATCTACTTGTGTTGTTTTACAGTGTGTTTGTATGTCAGCTTCTGGTAGGAAGTATTGCTCTTTTCATGAGTCTGAGATGTAAAAGCTACTAGGTTATTTGCATTAGGGCACTTTGAAAGAGTTAAGAAAAACATAGTAATAAAAAAATGCCTGAGGGAAATGGCACCAACCTCAAGAGTTTGCAGAGAACCAAAATGTGAGTCATAAAACTTAGCAGCAAATTGCTGGACTCCTGGATTGTGCTTACGTTTGATCTAAAAGCCTGTGTCCAAGGTGGGGAGTCTGCTGTGTAAAAGCCACTTAGCCTGAGTTCTTGAATTCACGCATGTCCTGCTTATTTCCCCTTTACTTCCAAAAAGTACCCATCAAATGGGTAGTTTGGCCAGTAGGAATAAGTAGCTGTAGTTCATGCTGTGCTGCTGCTGGCTGTTGTTCTCCTTCTCACCACCCTCCCTGTTCTCCTCCCCACGCATTCCCCTACCTGCCAGCTTTCTTCCTTTTGCCTACCTCTTTCCTCCTTGTTTTTGCTCTCTGTTGAAGTCCTTTCCAGACTGCCATGTAGCATATACAGACCAGAAGCAAATATGAGAGTCAGTCTGGAGCCAGCTCACATCATGTTTCTCATCTTTCTTTGTAAAACCTGCCTAAGGTGGGTGGTATCACCCCTAATGTTTGCCATGCCAGGGAAAGGAGAGCTGTATGTCCCAAAAGTTGAAGGAGGGGGGATGCATGACAAACAGGCCTGGAGGCTTATGCGTGTCCTTTTGGTTCTCCTGGTGTATGCTAGGGGGTTTTGTGCTAGTTTCAGCACTTTTGCTGAAAGGCTTCCAGCATCCATAACACCAAGACGAGGCTCTCACTCCTGTGGCTCATTTCCCTGCAAATCAGAGAGGAATTATAACTGGAGCTGGGCAAAAAATGTGATCAAAGCTCTTTCTGCTGGCTGATGTAAACAGAGCATTGCCACACACAAATCTAATTTGAATGCACCAAATCAGTTGAGCAAAAATAATTCTGACATTAAAAAAAAAAGTGTAGAGGCCTTGCTTTTTCATTTGAAAAAGTGTTTTAATTTTAGCTTCAAAATGAAAGAAAACCCCCACATCCTGAAAATGAACCACGTAGTTTCACATTCATGTTATGCAGCTGAACATAAGATGTGAAAAATAGGTGTGCATAGGAGTATTTACTGTTGGTTCTGCTCAGAAAGCAAGAACTCTGGGGTATCTCTGCAGGCATTTTTAAAATGTGAAGGAGGGGGGTTAGTCAGCAAATTCTCCTTCCATTTCAATGCCAAGAAGCCCTGCAATTCAAAAAATGGTTTTCTCACAGTGACGTTGAAGAATACATGGACCCAGAGGCTAATTCTGTGTGTTGGCTTTGTATCCTCCGAATAATTTAGAATGATGATCGTGGACTAAATTTAAATCAAAATTAAACTAAACATCTGCCTCGTCACAGCCTTCTCATCTTCATATTACCACCAAGCAAGCATCACTGTCTTGATTTTTCCAGATTTTGTCTCTTTTGAGAGACGACAGCTGTGTCACACTCCAAACAGGGTGTTGCACGTGTCTGTGCTGCTCTTCCAGCCCTGGCAAACTGAATACATACTATTCCAAATAATGCCTGGCACGATTTTGCTTTGAGGTTTTTAACAGCTGGTAGTGTAGGATTCCAATATGAGATTTCTAGAACAGATACATTAGTTTGCTTATTATTTGGTTCATCTGTCTTCCTGACTTCTGTTGGCTTGGCAGCCTTTTGGAGGGGAGGGGAAAAGTTCAAGCACTTCTATTTGCTCCTTTTCCCGTGGCAAATAAATGCCATTGCAGAAGTGCGAGCCGTCAGATGGAGGCATCCAGACATTGAAAATTAAATTTGAGCTAGCTCATCTTCCCTGGTCAGAAATATAAAGGGATTTGGGCAATTTTGAGTTGAATACACAGTATTTCTTACGGAGATTGCTTCACCCAGCACGCAAGTCTTCGTCTGGTGTAATGGAATGAAGAGTTTAAGAGAAGCACTTAATGTGGGGGATCCTCGGGGTTTAGGGGCACCGCCAGTTCTGCGTGTGGATTCTTTCTTTTTTGGCATTTGGATGGCTACTGAACACAATCTTAAATCAAATTAATACTGCTACAGTATGATCGTAGTTTGTTCTGAATTTAAGCCACTGCCAAGCCTAAACACTCAAAAATTGTGATATGACCTCAGGGAAAAAGGTAGAGCTCTTTGAATGAGCTTTGCTTTGGTTTTATTTATCTTCTGGTCTCTGAGCACTTAATTTGCCGTGAGGATGCATTTTTAAATCCCTCTGTCGTCGCATGAGGGAGAAAAAGAGAGTCGAGATAGTTACATAATGCTGTTATTCTAGGATATGAGATTTCTAAGAACTGGCATCTAGGTATTGTGGGAAGATGTGCAGTGAAACATGAGTGGGTAATTGGCTATTACACTGTATTTTCTCTTCTTTGTAGCTACTTGGGCTTCCAGATGTTGATGATGATGCGTTTGAAGAATATAATGCAGATATGGAAGAAGAGGAACCAGAAGCGGATCACCAACAAATGGGTGTCAGTCAGCAGTAATTTTCAGAGAAGCTGTAAAATTGGGAATCCCTTGGCACCAGGTGGGGTCAGATAGTCCCACGTTAGCCTGTTCGATTGCGCATCACATGGGGATATCTGGCTCCCAGGATACAAGTTTTATGAAATGTTTATTTAAAAAAAATAATAACAATCTGTGATGGGCTTTGCTAAGAAGTGACCTGAATTTTGCTCCTGCTTCAGTGGAGTTTTTATGGAGTTATCTTGGTAGTATTCTGCCATTACCAGTCTAGAAGTAGTTTTGTTGCTGACTGTCTCCTTGATTTGTGTTTGAGAGTAACGTTCACTGACATGAATGTAGGGTTGCCTTGAATGTAGGGACTGCAGGGCCGGCGTGCTGGGCACTCCTTGCACGTCATCTCTTGGGGAAATTGGTGCAGAGAGTAGATGCAACCAGCACTCTTCTTTTTAGTTCAACAGCTGTGGTTTGTGGCTCTTTACCAGACAGAGCACCATACTTTGAGAAGTTTCTCCTGAAAAACACTAGTTTAATAGTGGTCAGTGCTGCAGAAATGCACATGGAGGCTCAGTTAAAATGATGGGGAGTGAGAAGTCCAGGAGGTGTTTGTGTTGGACCTGTTAATGTCATTTTACTGACACCTGAGTTTACAGTGATTGGATTCATAACCAGGAGCAGTTAGAGCTCTGGTATTGACAGTACATATCAAAACAAACCTGGGTACTCTCACACCATTTAACTCAAAGCCAAATACTGTTTTTGTACAAATTCAATCAATTACAGACAGCCATTGCATATCCCATGAAAAGCGACTGTAAGCTTCACTATTTTTTAAAAAATCCATAAATTACTACACAAATCTTGCAGTGTCACCAACTGAAGTGCAACTTAACTCGGAAGCCATAAGTGTATAAACCAGCTTGTAACACTATGCTGGACCTTTTCCTCCCTCTGGGCCTTTGAGCTAATCTGGGCATTTCCACCTCTGACAAGGGGAGCTAAAATACTACCCAAGCAGGAGGCCCATCGTATCTTATACCTACTTTGCATAGGTTTAAGTGGCTCCAACGAGTGCCAGACTGTGAAGATGCAGGGTCTCTTTATTTACATGCCTTTTGTACTGAAAATATAAGAAGCAGAGTGATGCTGTTGTAAGACATCTGTTTTCTGTGGTTGAACATAGTGTTTCTGAATTTATTCCTTTCTTCCAGTTTCTTTTTAAATGGCAAAATGAAGGTCACACACTTTGAAAGCCCTTTTATACAGAATTAACTTTATAAAAACAAAAAGTGAGTGAAGAGAAAATGATAGGACAATTCCCAGAAACAGCTCACACCATTTTGAAAACCCCGTGATAGCAACATCTCCTTTTCCATAGACTTTTAAAAGACTTTTATTTTTCAAGATTACTTAAGAGAGGAAGTTTTCTTGGGGATTTACATTTCTGATGATGGGTTGAGAGGTGCAGAGCACCTGATTTTTTCCAGCCTGAGGCAAAAACCTTCCATAACCAGGATGGTGCGTGGTACCCAATTATGTACAGAAATGTCTGCAATGCTTACAAAGTTCGGGTTTAAGAATATAAAAAAGAATGGAAGAGAAACAGAGCTTAATGAAACTTTGTACATTCTTTTGGCATGCAGGCATAAACACGGTAGTTGCAACACATTTTCTATGGACTAGTGACGTGAGAACTGTGGCAGTTCATTGTTTAACACTGTGCAGCAGCAATAGGCTTTTTGCTTACAATTATAAAGTGTAAGAACAGTGGGTTCCATCCCTGCTTTAGGTCCCTAAGTTTTTGTTCCTCCCCATGAAAAAAGATGTCATAACCTTGCTTCAGGAGAAGCTTTCTCTTTGTAGCATCCATTGCTTTGGTTACGGCTCGTACAAATGGATCTTTTGGGGCTGGCTTCCCTCTGCTGCAGTGCCAAGCAAGATGTAATTTACAGTAGCACAAACTATTGATTGAATTGTTAATGAGCAGTTGGACATTAATATGGATGTATGCAAACATAAAGCTGTAAATCATGTAGATATATTATTTTCTGCATACACTAACTCACTTTTTCTGGAATGCCATGTGCCATTGGAGTGATCTCTCCACCAGAGTGCAAGTGCTTGGTAGATGGGGGCTGTTCTGCAAAGCTCTCAGTACGGCCAGCAAGATTCTATTCAAATGCAACTCTGGAGGCTGCATGATGCTCAGTCCTGCAGAGAGCTGCACACTTGTGTCCCCCCCTCATGCTGCTGGGAGCGGAGTGTGCAGCCTCACTGCTGTACTGAAGCACTGCCAGGCAACACTAACAATAAACTGGAATTTTATACACAGAAAACTTAAGTGACGTGTGTATTAAATGTGAATGAGCCATTAATATAGAATGTATTTTATCAAAAAATATTGATTGCTTCCTTTGACCAAATACATTTCTGTATGATCATGTTACGTGTTCCATACTTATCTCATGATGCAGAAAATGCAAAATGGGCTTCATTGTGTCACAAAGTATTTACATGTTTTATTTGTGTTTTATTTGTTCTCCAGTCCTCTACATTTTGGGGTTGGTAGCCATACAGTAACTCACCGAAGACAGCATGGCCCTGGCTGGGCTGCCAACTGAGAGGCTGCACCTGTGAACACATGTGCAAACACTTGCAGGTGTAGGGACTCAGTAAGAAAATGTGGGCTTAGGGCTCTGCTGCTGCCCTGCTCTGGGCTTTGGGTAGATTTCAGCAGCTGGGCCTCTGTGAAATTCAGTGAGAGGAGGAAAAGGACCCTTTTGGGGAGATGCCCGGATTCGGAGACCACCCCAACCACCCACGAGGTATCTGCTTATTGAACCTCTGCAGCATATGTAAAAACTGCTCTGGGCATTCCTGGTCACAGTCATTTGTTTCTGTTAGCATCCTGCCCAATGAATACATTGAGTTGATGAGGGAGGAAGGGGTGGAGAAAAGGCAAACTAAAAGGCCTTCTCCTCTTCCCCAGCTTTATTATTTGTGGTATTGTGTGAGTAGGTCAGAGCGATGGGCAGGGATCAGGAAGCTGCTTTATGAAGTATGCAGTGAAAAACTCTTAACAGGATTTGCTCACGATGCATTGAGAAAAAACACTGGCAAACTATCTCCTCACAGAGATGTGGGGTGTAACATCCCCTGAACACGATGGCCTGATGGCAGGCTTCTTCAGCTCTGCCCTGGGCTGGTTCCTCTTTGTTTAGTGCCTTTGAAAGGTGCCTGCTCGTAAAAATGCTCCTTGGGAGGGGAGCAGCCCAAGCTGGTTCTGCATTGGCAACCTGATGTATGACTGCTGCTACATTTTGGTGCAGTGTCATGTGTAAGGTATGCTGGATCAGATGGTGGCTGGGGGCAGCAGATATTCCTGCAGGGTTGCTTATCAAGTGACTGGCCTTTTCTTCACTGGAAGCTAGGACATGAGACTGTGACAGGAATATTGACTGCAATGACAGTATGGGTGTTGCCCTGGAAAGATGCCATAGGGGACAAGTCACTAACATTTTTGAGCTTGTTTTTTGATCTTTCACAGGGATCCAGCTTGTGGTCAGCATTAGTTGGGGAAGGCAAGGTTAACACTTGATCCATCCTTCCCTCATGTACATCCTTTCCTCATGTCCATCCTTACCACACATCAACACTGCTCAATCCTCAGAATTTCCCACATTCAGAAAAGACAAAGCAGCCAAAGAGGGTGAAGAAGACCCCTTTCACAAGGGTATGAGACTGATGCCTACCTAACTGATCTACCTTTTGAAAATCAGGCCCCTCTAAAGCTGTCCTGGCTGGGCATCCAGAAAGTGAGGTCTCTCTGGCTGCAGTCTGTATCTGTGACAGGAAGTTTGAAGGCCAGAATCTCTCACCTCAGGTTTTTTCTGAAATTCTGAGTCTTGGTTTGCACTGTTGATCTGTGATGTCTGTGGCAGGAGCACACTGCTGCATAATGAAACCTGCTCACTTAGCCTCAGTCACTCCTTCAGTGAGCCAAATTATCATTTACAGGCTCTAGGCGAGGCTTTTTTTTTTCCCCTCATAGCCAGGGGCTTTTTTTTTAAGGAAGAAAATACCTGAAGACACATCTGTGCTGTCACAAGCCCCGATTTCTGCAAAGTCATGTAACACAGTGCTGTCCATCCCAGCCTGGTCACAAATGCTTAGATTAACAAAGAGAGTGTTCCTTTGTCTGAAGAAACAGTCTTCAAATGAGCTACTACTGACTGCAACAAAGCTGTCTTCTTTCATGTAAGATACATCCAACTCTGAAATTTCCTTTTTGCACTGACATGCTGCTGCTCCTGTAGGCAGAGATCTGCGGTAGCACTGTGTATAAACAATGTCTGCTTTCATCTTTGGGGTGGCAGTGAAAATGACAGCCCTGGATTTTAGTCATTAACATCTTTTTGTTGTTGAGTTTTCCTATAATGATGTGGGGATCAGTCAGAGCGCAACACATCAAGCAGAAATAATGTTAGACCACACCATGCAAAGACTGTCGTTGGTGAGCTTGCTACCATTTGTTTTTCTGACTGGAAGATCTCTGTCTCTTTGGGACTTCAAAGCTGGTGTTGCCAAAGAGTGTTGCCCTTTTGTTCAATACTTTATCAGGTGTAAGCCTCCAGTGGAGCCTTGTCTATTCTTCCCTTCCTCCTTCCTCTCCCACCACCGAGGTGTCAAATCCAACAGTGTAGTTACACCATAGGCTTGCTATTAAAGAGCTTACCAAATGCTAGTGACTTATGGAGTCTTTTCTCTGTGAGCAAAATAAACTAAACAGGGGTCCTGGTGGGGTAAAGTGTAGCTACAATGTGTGTGGGGAAGAGGAGGAGAGGCTTGTGTTTCTCAGGATACACCTGGTGTTTGCAGTGTAAGGAGAAAATGATTCCATCAGAGCTTTGGGTATTGCAGAGCAAGTCATGCTCTGCAAGACAGGATCCTGAACTGCCAGGTCTTTCCATTTAGTGCAAAAGATTTGCTGTCAGAAAATGGGAATTAGTGGTAATATTTGAGATGAGCGAGTGTTTCATATTTCCCAGGTCCTCTTTTGTTTTGCACAGATTAGGGAGACATCTGTTCTAATTAACAGACATGTAACAACGTTGAAATGAAAATAGGAAGTTATGTTCAACTCATTTGCTTCCTTTTTTTTAAACACTGCCATTTTAATTGTCACTTTGACATCTTCTCACTCTGATTTAGTGGAAGGAATGCTGCCAATTGTTTCCCTTTGTCACGAGTCTCTTGTCTGTGGGTTGAAGAGCATTTTCAGCTGAAGAGCGAGTGCTTTAACTTAGCACTTTGCCTTGCATTCTTGGCCCTTTATGTGGTGTGAGCGCTCTGTGGGAGGACTGTGGCCATGATGTGTCCTGTGCTACATCCACAGCCCTCACTGGCAGCTCCGAGGCCCCTGCTGGTAGAGCGCCTACCGGCCGGCTCCCTTCTCTTACTGAATAATCCTAGCAGCACGGGACTCACAGCCTCTTGAGGGACACCTGAGTGTGGCTGAGGCAGTGGTTGGGCTCTGCTACAGTCTTCTTACATATACAGCTGCTCCTATGGAAGAGGCGATGGACCCAGCCTGTCTGCAGCTGCTGGGAACCCACACTGCCTGCTCTGGTCGGCTGGATGGACTTCTCCCTCTTCAGAAGCTGAAGTCACCCTTAGGAGTTTGGATGGCAGCGCTCTGCTCATGTAGGTCTCAGCTGTGGGACAGTGGGCCCTTCTCTGAGGCCAGGGACCCCATACAAGATGGCGGCTGAGCTGGGGCATGCTGCTCCACACACAGGTCTGTCCGTGCAGATCTCCTTCCTCAGTTAAGAAAGCACGCTGCCCCAGGGCTTTGCCACATTTTGGCTCTGTCTGAAGGAGAACAAAGCCACTGGAGGTCCGTGTTGCCTCTGTAACTCTGGCCTACTCTCTCCCAGCAGAGCTGTCACCAAGCAGAACCATTTGGGAATTGCAGTTACCCCTCCTTAGCAGGTTGGTGTGCTGCTTTAGAATTAACAGTACCTTGCTCCAAGTTTTCACCTTCCCTCTTCTCTGTGAAAAGATTCATGCTTCCACCACTTGCTCAGTGTGATGAAACACAATAAAAAAGCACATTGAGCTTTATTTCTAGTGCCTCGGTGTGTGCATCTGTGCTCTTGACTCAGAAGTTCTGTTACTGTGAAGACAAAACTAAAGCAAGATTTGTAGAAAAGGATATAATATCTTTTATTAGCCATACTGATGCAGTGGGAGAAGGCAAACAATTGTTGTAGCTCCCAGGTGCCTCTCTTGTGCTGAAATAAGAGCAGCAATTATATGATACCAGGTTATTCCTCTCCACAGTAACTTTGCCTTGCTTGTGCACTTTTCCCAAGGTATTGTGGCTGTAATGGTGCAGTGGAAGAAGGAGCATTTGGGCCAGATTTGAATAATACCTGGAGATGTTCGAGAACTGAGTGGATGTGGCACCTAGGGACATGGTCAGTGGGCATGGAAGGGGGGGTGTTGGCTGTTGGACTAGGGAATATTAGTGGTCTTTTCCAAGACCACTTGGAGACTCTGTAATTATGACTCTAATTACAGCAGTGGTGAAGCGCCCAGAAGTGGATGTTAGCTATGCTAAGCACAAGGCTCCGTGATGGACTGTTAGAAAGCTCCCAAAGGTCAGCCGTCAAGGCTTTACGCTTTGGGGTTTTATTGTAGGCCCCTAGAGGGCAGCAAAGCCTAAATTTTCAGTCCACCTGAGCACCACAGTGATGATAAAAGCAGCTTTGCCCCTGGCCTGCAGATGGGTGCTGGCATTGGAGCTGGTGTCAGCACCACCCAGTGCTGGTGGAACCCATCCTGCCTGGGACTGCAGCTGAGAAAACATTCAACCAAAGTGTTTCACTGGTTTTGAAATAAAGAGTAATAAATAGTCTCCTCACTATTCATTAGGATATCAACACTCCAGCACTGGGAGAAGTGTGCTTTAACAACAAGCCCCATTCACAAAAGGATGTAAGCAAAAGGCTTTGAGCTGATGTTTAAAGGCCAGTGCTTGATGAATTTATGGCCCCTGGAGATCAATGCCTTGCCTAACCCAGTTTCCCTGCATACACACTGTGAGAACTCCAAGTTGTGTGGTTGGGTGACTTTGGGCTTGTCCTCTTTCATGAGGCAGAATAGCTCCAGGCTTTGCTTTTCTTTAAATTGTGGAACAGGTGTATCAGCTTCTTCCTTTCCACCTGTGGAGGACTGGAGAAGAGTTGTGGGAAGCTGTAGCCTAAGCTGTGTGGCCAGGGAGATGGTGCAGTCACCATCCTTGGAGGTGTCCAAGGGATGTGGCACTGAGAGATGTGGTCAGTGGGCATGATGGGGACAGGTTGGCCATTGGACTAGATGGTCTTAGTGGTCTTTTCCAACCTTAATGATTCTATGATTCTATTCTATGTTTCTATCCCATGTTTCTGTCCTATCCTTCCAGGGGGAAGGTACGAGCACATGTATCTGTAGCACAGCCCTCTGTCTTGTTATTGCCAGCCAGTGTCTGAGGAGATTTTGTGAGTGCTGGCATCAAGATCGATGTCACACAAGTGTAAGCTATACTGCAGCTGTGTTTGGTATGGGTCCCCCTGTGCCGCAGTGCTGCAGAGGCTTTGCTACTTTTTGTGTTGAGCTGCTCCCAGTCTACCTCACATGGGTTCTTGCTTTACTGTCACTCCTGACCAGGACTGAGGATGGAGCTGTGTTTCTCCAGGATCTTCTCAGTATCTGGGCTTGAAGCAATCTTGGAAGGGAGCCAAACTAACCCATTCAAACAGCATGGTCACATACAGCAACTCCCTGTGCTATGTTATTCAAGTCACCTTTCCACAATGACTTGGATAAAGCTTTGGCACAGGGCATTTAAGCTAGAGGGCACTGAGGAATCCCACCTGCATGCGCCAGCAATCTCAGAGCTGGTTTGGAGCCCACTCAGATCCCAGTTCTGGCTGCCAGTCCCTGGAAACACTCTACCTTGTAAGGGACACCTGATGCCAGCACTGCATTTACTGTAGGACACTGCTAGTGCATGTGTGGGCTCAGAGCTGGTGTCACATTCCTTAGCACTGAGCGTTATCTCGGTGGATGTGAGCTTGCATTCGCCCCATGCGCTGCTCTCCCCCTCCCCAGCTACAGCTGCTGGCTAATAATTGTGAGTGCAGTTGGCAAAAACAGCCTCTTTCTCCCCAGTTTTTCTGCTGGTCAGTGTGCCCAGAACTGTGACTGCCTTTTTCCCGGCTGTTTGGCTGGCCACCCTCCAAGCACAGGGTTCCATTTTTCTCTGTATCCTTATGGATGATACACTCACTTCCAGCATAGGCACTTGTCAAGAACTGAGACTTGTATGCTTTGTTAAGAAGGACATATTGTGCTTGAAACAGGGAATTCATACAGAAAAATCAGTGCCAGTTTTTATCGCATCACACCATCCCTTTTAGTTAATAAAAGTCAGGAAAATTTTATATTGGCTTTTCTCAAGGGTTCTTATTGTTCTATTCCTTCTTGTTTGCTGTGCTTCTTTTTGTCTCTGTAAAACCTTTGTCAAGAAGGCTGTGAGCTGCTGTGAGTCACGCAGCAGCAATGGGGAGCGGCAGCATTGAGCCATGTGTGCCAAGCCTGCCCGCCTGTGCCCTGGCTGTCATGACTGACTGCTGCTGGGCTGAGGTGGCCTGAACTCTTTTCCTGAAGTTTGGTGTTGCCACTGGGGCATTCTACACCAGGATTATTTATGCAAAGCATATATTGCAAAACATAGTCCCCTGGGCCTCTCCTCATCTCTGGGAAATGTCTGTGCTTGAGTGCAAGGCAGCTCTATGAGACAGCAAAGTGTTTTTCATGGCTTCTCTAGCTGCACGGCAGCAGCTCCTTCCCCTGATCAAGTACTGCTTGTTTTTCCAGCTCTGTCAGATAGCAGGAGGCACCCTTCTGGGAATGACCACGCTATGGCTCTTAGTACATTCCTTTGGGCTTTGTAAATGTGTAGTTTCTTGGTGGCGTCATCAAAAAAAAAGGGAGGAAAGGCCCTACCTGCAGAACCGGTAATGCAGTCATGGTCTGGCTTCATCGGGCTCCCTGAGCAGTACCCAGCACACATCACACGAGCAGTTAATTAGATAACTGGCCCCATGCAGTGTCCCTTGAAACAGAGATTGCAGCACAGCAGTAGATCAGCCAAGGCACGTGCTGCCAGCCCTATGAGCCTGGCTTCATGTTCATCATACAAAGAGCATGAAAGGGGATGGACTTCGCATCTCCATGGGCTTTGGAAACTCACTACTCCATAAATTGGTTATTTAAGTGGCAACAGAACTGGTTCCTTCCACAGAGAAGAGGAAGATTGCTGCTATCACCAACGTCCGTGCTAACTTTGCAGGCAGATGAAAATTCCTGAAATGCTGCATGATTTCACCAACCTGTACTGCTGCATAAAGAACTCCTGAAGGTGTCCTGGTGAAGCTTTTTCCTTCTGTCTTCTTCCTGCATTGCTTGAAGGCACCACATTTCCCTTTAGAAAATAAACGTCACGTACTTAGGAGTTTATTCTGCTATGGCATATGTGGGATTGTCATCAACACCAACAGCAAAGATGCATCCATCCAGCAGAGAATAATCTGCTTCATGGCTGAATGGGAGAGCTGTGTGTTGAATGGGAGCAGCTAGGCAGCTCCATGGGGCAGTTTTCTCTGATGAAACTGAAAACCATTTCAAAACAGGAAATGAATTTCCCACTTTGTATTCAATGTATCCCAGAAATAACAACACATCACTTGACTGATTCTCAAGAAGAAACTGAAATCTGGGTGCATTTCATCAGAAAACTGAGTTGAGTTGTTCCTAAACATTTGCTATTCCTCCAAGTCTGTTTGGCTGCAGATGTGCACAAGTGTGCTTCTTTGTCCCTCCCACATTGCCATCCCCATTACACGTACCAGGTGAGCTCTTCTCCCATTGCCAGCCACCCAGCAGCACTTGGGTGCTGAAAAACCCCCAAGCAGGACAGATATGTGAGTTGGAACAAATCTTCAGCCCCATAGCTTAAGTGGGGCATGGTGCAGTGGGACCTGACCCCACTAACACAGTCACAGAGCTGGGGCAGGCATCTCCCTGCAGCAGCAGCTCGGCTCTGCTCAGCTGGCAGCACCCCAGGCTCTTGCTGAAGCACAGGAAAAGTGAGCCAGAGGAGTACCATCCCTGATATGTTGCTTAAACAACGGTTTCCCATATAAGCCATGTATGCTGTAACTGTATATGCTACAGCCCAATAATTAATGGCTTGTTGATTAGGCCTGGGATCTATAACAAGTACATCGTGGCTTTTCCCCACCCCAAATAAGGACTTACTATGAGGGGATAAGGGATGATGCTGACTCCTGGGATGGGCTATCTCCAGCACAGGTTACCCCAAAGGGGGTAACAATTCCCACCATCACATCCTACATGTCTGCCAGCCTGGTGCATGTGGGGTGCGCTGGGATCCCGCAATGTTCGCATGCTGGGAGCTGCTCTTCTGCTGGGCTGCTGCTGCCACGGGGCTCTGGGAGCTCTGTGTGCACTCACTGTGTCAATATTTAACAGTGGTAATTAGTAACAGGCTGGGTGGCTCAGGAATTCAGAGCTCAGCATTTACCTCATCCACCTTTCCCATCTTCTGGCTGCTTAGGGGATATGTCTGCAGCAGGAGAGGCGATGGCTTGCGTAATGCCACTGCCCCTTTTTTTCAGTAAACATTATCCATAGGCCATCACTAATGTGTGTTCCCTTTGCTCTGGTGGCTCATGACACTGCAAGCCTAATAACATAAGAACTATATTTGAGATGAAAAAAAAAAAAAAGAGAAAGGTATTTTTGTGGCTAACTGATGGGCAGCTCCCCTTTGCTACCAGTGTGATTAAGGTTTCAACTCCAGGAACCAGTGGCAGCACAGCAAGCATCCTCTCTCCTCCAGTGTATCCTTGCCCTGCCACCAGGCCATGCCCCACTGCTGCCCTGCGCCCTGCAGAACATGCGCAAGATCTCCTCATCTCTGCTCTCTCTGCCTGATACCCGTGTGCCTGTGCCAGTGTGCATGCATTAATTACACTCATCTAAATGGCGATATATGCTCTGTTATATGGCTACACATACTTATTCCTGGCTTGCTCTTTTGCCAGGAGCTGAGGATTTTGAAAGGGATGCGTGGTGTTGTTTTTCCCAGAGGAAGCAATTAGGAGGTTCACCTGATTTACCGGAGGCTGTGCCCTCTCCTGCCGGCACTGGGGCTCCACCGCCACAACAGCCGTGTGGTGCAGCGGGAGAATGCTCAGCTCTGCTTTTCCCAATTCATTCTGTTCTCTGTGGCACGTCCACAAACAACCGCCCCAATGGGGTGCGGGAGTCAGCCTGCTGCTGCAGATGGGCGGAAAGGAACGGAACAATACCCAAACCAAGAACCAAAGCCTGTCTCATTAGCGGTGCAGCCAGCACAGAGGGGGCAATTTGCGGAGATGGCAGCGGTGACAAGCGTGGGAGGGGAGGGGGAGGGAGCGTGGACGCAGCTCGAAGAATTGAGCCGAGAGCGGATGGCAGGAGGTGCCTGAGCGGGGAGCATCGCTGTGAGTGTGGCAGCTGGGAGCTGCCCTCCGCCCTGACAGCTGCGTGCCTCCCATGGATTTGTGTCCCCATGCCGAAGTAGCAGCCCCGCTGGGGTGCGTCTTCATTCCGAATGGGATGCTGTGCTCTGAGCTTGCTGCACAGTAGGTGCTCAGGAAAAGGAAACCAAAGGAACGTGGCTTTCTTATGATCCCAGAGATGCAACACCTCTTCTATAGGACAGGCTGAGAGAGCTGGGGCTGTTCAGCCTGGAGAAGGCTGTGGGGGGACCTGAGAGCAGCCTTTCAGCATCTAAATGGGGGCTGTAAGAAAGGAAACGGGCTCTTTAGCAGGGTCTGTTGTGACAGGACAAAGGAAAACGGCTTCAAACTAAAAGAGAGGAGATTTAGATTGGATATAAGGGAGAAGTTTTCCACAATAAGGGTGGTGATGTACTAGCACAGGTTGCCCAGGGGTTACTCCATCCCTGGAGACACTCAGGGTCAGGCTAGATGGGGCTCTGAGCATCCCGATGGAGCTGCCTCCCGATGGAGCTGTAGGTGTCCTGTTCATTGCAGGGGAGCTGAAGTGGAAGATCTTTAAGGGTCTTTTCCAACTCATGATTCTGTGATGATTCTGTAACGATCCTTCAAACCCAGACCTGTCAGTTGCAGTCTTACACGGGGATGGAGAGCAGCACATTGCTGAAAGCTTGCCTAATTGCACCTATCCTTGGAGAGGGAAACATAAAGGAAAGGGCCCTATGTTGGCAGTGGTTGGAAATAAGAGCTGATAGAAGTCAGAAATGGCAACAAAGGAGCATTACACTCAGTGCTTTCAGAGCCCTGAAAGCTCACCCCTTTCTGCCACTCTCAAAATCCTCACCAGGCTTCAGGGTCGTGCTGGCACCACTGTGGGCAGGTAGCAGTGATTTCTGCTTGCAGCACACTATGGTTTAGGGGAAGCAGGGAGATTTGTTCACTGCAGGTGCCAGAAACCTGAATGGTATCCTCACCTGTGGTGAGGGGTGAGCCATGCAGAGTGGTTTTACAGCAGCTGTCAGCCCATTCTTACCATAGAGTCATTAAGGCTGGAAAAGACCTCTAAGATCATCTAGTTCAACCATCAGCCCATCACTACCATATCACTAAACCACGTCCCTCAGTGCCGCATCCACACGGTTCTTGAGCACCTCCAGGGATGGTGACTGCACCACCTCCCTGGGCAGCCTGTGCCACTGCCTCACTGCTCGTTCTGAGAAGAAATTCTTCCTCATATCCCATCTGAAATCTGCAATCTGATGCAATCTGCACAAAAGCAGGTTTCCATTCAGCCTTGCAGTGCTTACCTCTGCAGAAATTATGTTCTCTGCAGGGAAATCTTGTCACTCTGTAGGTTCTTTCCCCGCGGCTGCTTGCAACGTACAGATCAGCAGATCTTTCTTCACATTTCTCCCCCAACACTGCTTACAGAAGGCATGGAGGTAGGTAGGATGTGAGGGGCAAAGCCACCCAAGCAGCAGACCAGAATATTGTGCATTGGGCAAGCGTAAAATCCCAATTTTTGTCCATTGTTTTTCCTGCTCTGTTAAAAACTGGCCTTACACACAGCCTTGCCTTGCTCTTGACCATCTAGGTCATCCTGAGTGCAGGGATCCCACAAAAACACAAGGAAAAGCACACACAGCCATAGTGGAAATTATCTCCAGTGCTTTTGATGCAGAATGAAAAAAGCCATATCCCCAAAGCCACGGGGCGAGAAAGTGATAAGCCCTGCTCTAATTCTCCTTTTGTGTGGAGTAGCGTCTCAGGATCAGGATCAGGAATTCTATGGCAACCCGATTTAAATATGACAATGTATGGAATCAGTATGAAAATTATTACACAATTCAGAGCCCTCAGTCCTGGGCTAGGGCTCACTGCTGACAAGCTTACATTAAGAAGCAATTACCTTTGAAAATGACCCTATCGGGCCAAGAAAGCAAAGCAAATTTCTCTATGTGACAGACACTTCTGGCAATTTCAGTTGTGTTACACTCTCAACATCTTCCATATTGCATCTGCTATTACTGTGTCTTTCTCCAGAACTGTGCACAACCACAAAGCTTCCAGGCTATGGGGATTTTTGCAGCTCAGGTGGGTGCAGTTCAAGATGGAAGCTCCATTAGCTGGAGATGTGTAGCCAAATGATCGCTGACTGAACTGATTTGCATGGACATCTAAATGTGGCTTTCCGAGCTCTTCCTCCACAAACAGGAGAAGAACCACTTGTTTTTGGAATTCGTGTCTGAAGCTGCCACACACTTCTAAGGCAATTTTGAATCATAATCATAGAGTCATTCAAGTTGGAGAAGACCACTAAAATTGTCTAGTGCAACTTGCTGTCAGCTCACACTGAGTTTCCTTCACACACTGCTGTGCAGGTTTAAAACCAGCAGGAAAACTTTGCAAAGCACCCACTTCCCATCCATATATACTGGCTCCTGAAAGTTTTAGCATCATGGTTTCCGTGTCCCAGCCTCTGAACAAGTTGTAGAGGCTTTGGTGATTGCCAGCTGAGGGCAGAAATAAGTAAGGGTGAGGTTTTGGGAAAGGAAAGGAGGCCAATGCCTTAGTTAATAGCAGAAAGGGCTGCGATAATTACAAGCTCTCCCAGTACACATAGATGTAGCTAAGCAAGTGGTCAGGTCTCCACATGAAACAAAATGAAATTAAAGAAAAACAGAAAATAAAAACAAAAATACAACAACAGCACTCATAGAACTCTACGCACTCAAGGGCACGGGTGTCAGGCAGCTCTGCCAAAGCCACTTGATGTACACTTGTGAACTGCACCCCCATGGACTGCTCGCCTGTGCACGTCAGACAAACAAGATCCTATGATGAGAGGCTGCCCCTCTGAAGGGTTGCCTTGCTTTTGTGCTTTGCTGTCTCTATGTGTCTTTCACGAAGCTTTATTATCATTGATAATGAAGAACTAAGAGGGAAAAAAATTCTATTCAAGTATTGCATAGTCAAAAAATCACTTCCCTGGATGCTGGAAAATCAAATAGAAGACTCCAGGGCAGAAGGGCTAATTAAAAAAAAAATCACACACACACACAAAATCACAAAAGCCTGCTTTGCTATGAAAACCCTTGAGGGGAGATAAGAGCTGAAGTGAAGCACACGCTTGAATAATAAGGGTCTTAATGGGTTTGGGTCCACGTCTACTACAAAGCATTGATTTTGGATGCTTGATGAAGTTAGTTATTAGATTAGAAAAAATTATTTAAAGAGACACTGCTCACTGAAGATCATTCTGTAGGAGAAGTTTGTATTGGTGTCATAAGTAACCACTCATTTTAATGAAAGGAGGCTGGAGTGAAAAAAAATCTTTTTAGTGCCCAGATTATTTATTTCACGCAGCTGGCAGAATCTGTGGTACATCTTAGCTTCTCCCTTCAGTGTCCACTCCTTACAACCCTGGATTTGTATCCCAGTCAATCTTTGGGAAAAGGCTGCAGGGCTGCAGCAGTGGGATCAGCAGGAGGCAAGGACTGAGGTGCTCAGAAAGAGCCCAGATTTTGCAGACAGGAGGGGAAAGAAAGGGCTGAGGGAGACGGGAGGTTGGGCACCAAGGTCTCGTGCATTGTCTCCTGCAAACTCAAGCTGTCTCTACAGCTGTTCCCTTCAATAAGCCCAGCAGCCTTTGGGATTTTCTTGCAGGGATTAAAAGACAAGGCTTGAGTCCCAGACTTCTTATCCAGTTTGAGATTTGGACTTGTAAAGTACTGTCCTCTCATTTGTACCACAGCTGAGTGCTGAGCTCCAAGAACTCATTCCATATCTCCATATTTGCAGGGGTGAAAGTAGGTGGGATTCAGACATGTTATTCTCAGGGCAAATATATTGTTTTGTTCAGAAATGGCAGATCAGAAGTGAGACAGGGCCAGTGACACACCTGAGGATATTAAGAATATCATTCATCCAACCGTAGGCATTGCAGTGGAAATGTCTTATCTGAACTTGCTGGTTGAGCTCCCTTTGTAGTCACTGTGAAGCAGATGAGTCATCTCATCCCAGTGCAGACATCTGAAAGAGGGCAGGTGACTCATATCTTACAAGTACCCACTTCTCTTCCTGATTATAAAGGGCAGTTCTGATGAAGACATTTGATGTCAGGTGAGGTGACTCCCACCTTGACTGGCTAGACTGCCTTAGGATGCGAAATATGAAGTTAGACAAAGAATAACACATGCAGACTGATTATCACTGATCTGTAAGTTACCTTAGCCTGTGAAATGGTAAAAAATCTTGTGTCTGATTGCTTCCATGTTGCTGGAATGACAGCCAGGAAGGCAGGCTGTGGATTAAACACTGTGGCCTGGGTTACGTGGTTACTCAGACCAGCTGTCTGTAGTGGTCAGTTTTAGGCTGAGCATCTCTGAGAATCACACCAGCAAGTGATATAAGTGAATGTTGGCAACCCAGCAGGTTGTCTTTGAGAGGCCCAGGAAGTCACCTCCTTTCTCAGCCTCCTGATTTCAGTCCTCATGCCTACAACAGTGACAGTGAACACAGGCTCATCCATAACTGGTGAGATCCAATGGCATGGGTCACTGTGGAGCTCATCCAGAAACTCCCATTTGGTGGTGACTTACAGCCTGCTCAGGAGGCAATCTGTGTATGTAGCATCACCAGAAACTCAGCCTGATTATTAAAAGCAAAAAAGCGGGTTCTCTACCAGGCTTGACATCTAACTAGCAGTTGTTAAGTTTATTGATCTCATTACCATCCCTGCAGTAATTCCTGCATTTCAAAAGCAAACCTCGCACTTTGTCATCTACAAAGTTGTCTTTGGAAGGGATGAAGGATTCGGAGCTCACCCAAGATGACTGCATGTCTGACTCCTGTAATCTCTGCTCTCCTCCCTGGTTGTTAATCTTGGACTCTGAATAGTTGCCTAACTCAGCTCCTGCAAATGTTGCCAGGATGAGATTCTGGGTATGTGCTTCATGGACTTGTCATTAGCACCAGCTGGTCTTGCAACAGTTTTCTCAGTGTTACAGCCTGATCAAGATCTCAGCAGCAGTGGGATGCGCATCCAGTGAGGATGAATGACTGGGATTCCCAAGCAGTGTCTCTACAACTAGTTAGCTGGAGGCAAAAAACAGCTGGTGGCCAATGTGGCGCATTCAGGGTACCCCAAAATATTCCTGTAGAGTGACCTAGCCAAAATAACAACTGGAAGTGGAAAGCTTTGGATGCAAACATTTATAGATAAATCCATGACCACAGCTTTTGAGGCACAAAGTACAGCCAGCCTGGAGGGCAGAAGAGAGAAGATGGTGCTCAAAGAGAAGCAGTTGGCCGCTTTTTCAGCTATCTAAAATTCCTGCACTAAGCTTGTAGGTGAACACATTCCTGATATTTTCATGTGTCTTAAGATGATGTATTTTCATGTGAATTCAGAAAGAGTTGGCATATTGGTTAAAATTGGTTAAAATTAAAATTAACACATCTATAAAATGGGCATGATGACAACACCCATTAATAATAATTATAGTCACACTTCCCCTGGTTTCTGAAACAAAAACCATTTATCCATTCAACTGTCGCAGGAAAAAATCTACTGTCACCTGTCTTGATCAAGACAAGGCAGAACCTGATGCTGAAGCTCATTACAAGTGCTGTCCCAGGTAATCACACTGCTCTATTAGCTGCAAAACAAATGAGTATTGAGTTCTGCAGATTTGTGTCCTATTTTCCCTCATCTGCCTCCAGCTATGCCCTGCACCGTACCCCAGCTTCCATATAGGTCATCTGATAAAACAGCGTCTACAATGCTGCCTTTTCTGACTCCTGTGCTGAAGGAAACTAGGATTACATAGGTCTGATCTCTAAATCACTGTTTATCCATACGGGCTGAAATTCCATCAGTTCTGGAAGAAGGGCAGGACAAAGGGAAAGGTCACAATAGAATACATGACTGCAGATGTACTCAGAGACCAGAAGAGCCCTTGTGTGTCAGACTGTCATTTTTGATGTCTGTTGGGGATGTTCAGTTGTGAAGCAAATCCTCAGGTCACTCCTTCCCTGGCAGCTGCAGGGTCCCACCTGTGTTCTGACTCTGCAGACCTACCTAGCCAAGTCCTACACTGCTCCAGTTCAGGGGCTATACATTTTATGAGTGCTCAAAGCCAGATTGTTTGGATCATTTTTCTTGACTATGCAAACTCCAAAACAGTGATATTATTATTTATATCTGTCAAGTCTCTCATTAATCTAAATCCTGCCCTGTAACAGAAAACACATAATGCCTCCTAAGGGAGGAGGTTGCCTCTGAGTCACTGGCAGAACAGCATGTTCTCTGCTCTCATGGGCTCTCCACCATATCTGGCTTTTACTTCTCCCTCTTTCTAGTTTCACAAGTCATCTTTTGGATTGCAGTCATCCATCAGAGCCCTGCAAGGTGGCAAGAAATGAGGAGAAATGTCTGGGCGTTCCTCTTACAGCTGCCAACCAGTATCAGTGTTGACTCAATGATCTGGCACTCGTTCACCCAGCCCAGCAATACTGAACATGGGTTTTGGGTATGTTTCAGCAAAGAAAATTGAAGATGTGGGATCCTTTCTTATTTTGGTAATTTGAAGGCTATTGGTCAGTAATTACTGGGCATTGCAGTATCACATGGCAATGAGCTAGCTAATGAGGAAAGATGATCTCAGTCTGCTTATGAGAAACAAAGTCCTTCCAGCAGCATCCAGATGTCAAAATAAGTGAGTGCATGGCAGCATCTCGCTTGTGAAGTCCTGTGTGGGAAACAGCTGTGCTGGGCCTGGATCCTGGGAATGTTCCCAAATGTGCCATGCTGTCAGCACAGGGGCAGCGCTGCCAGAGTTGAGAGCACAGCATAGGCTGCTCCTTTGGATACAGCAACCAGGCTTGAGGTCGTCTACAATGTCAAGATGCACCTCAAACCCTCTTGCTGTTGAAAGAAGAGGAGCACCGTGGGCCATTGCTGCTGTGCTGTGACAAACTGATGTTCTCCTGTTAACTGTGATGAATGTCTCTAATGAACATTAGAGCTACTCCCAGCCTAGATGAAGGCAAAGAGCTTGCCTGACCAGAAGCATTAGCATCATTGCTCACTTTGTGGTGAGCAGGCCATTAACTCATTTTGACACTGAGAAAATAAGACTGGGTTTGTGGGTATTTCTGTTTGTTTATTTTACTGTTTAAGTTGAAAGAACTGTAACAAGATAAAGCACTGTCTGGAAAAAAAGCTAATTGGATCTGAAAAGCTTAATTGATGGAGATAGGCAACTACTTGAAACCCTGTTTTCTTTTTTTTCTCCAGTCTGTGGATTTGCTGTTTCTTACAACCTGTACAAAAAGTGAGCATGAAGTTTCCCTTTGCTGCTGAGGTAGGGTTTAGTACCAATATGAGAAGGTGTAAATTATAACCCGCAAGGCTAGAAGGAGTCAAAGAGCACATGCCCTGTGATACAGTGCTGATATTGGTTAACTATACAATTATTAATAATTGATCAGGAACTGAGCGCAGTCCCTCTGTTAGGGCTGTCACTGTTCAGTCAGGCTATAAGTACATTCAAATGTCAGAAGCCATATAGGAAAACATTTACCACTAAGAACTGAGGAATTTTTCTCATTTTTCACTTTTCAAAAAATTATAACGTGGCTGTAACAGAGAATTCAAATATGACAAAATGATGGACAGTCAATTGAAACCGACATTTATGGTTGTCATCTGGAGCAAAAGCATTTCCCATTTAACCTGTGGGAATTATTCTTGCAATTCATACTGACTTAGAGGATGTATCTACAGTTGTAGTGCTCTTGGTCACAGTTTGGAAGCTCAGCGGTGAAAGGAGGATGTTTGTGTCACATTCCTGCTGCCTGTTAGAGCAGGAAAAATATATAGTCTAATGGGAATAGAGGCATGGCTGTCGTCTAACCACACCTCCCATAGCCTCCAGGAATTACCCAAACTGCATAATGCTTGGCCAAGGGTAAAGCTGATATAAGTCTCAGAAAATCTAAGGAATTCACAGAGCGGTACCAGAATTCCCCCTCCCTGGGACTTCTGAGGAAAGAGGCTTTGGAGGAGAAAGACTGCTGCCTTAGAGAGGTGGGGGACAAGAGGCTGGGATGGATTGAGGGAGGCAGACAGAAATGCCACAAGGTACATCTCTGTGGAAGCTACAGGCCTTCCAGGATTTCCCTGCAGCTTGTCCTAAAGTGTGCACTGTCAGACAGGGATGGCCAAAGGAGCAGAGCTAAGGTTACAACACTGATATTCACGACACTTCTTCATGCTACTTGGCAATACTCTTAATGTGAGGTATGATGTTCTGTGAAATACAGATGCTCCATTAAGCTTGAAAGGGGTGTTCCTTCAAGGAAAGCCCTCTTCCTCTTCCATAAAGGATGCTCATAATCCTAACAACAGTTCCATGGCCTGATCCTTCAGCATCCTTCTGACACTATGGAGCTCCAGTTGCCAAGTCAGCTTTTGTAAAGCTCTCTACTCTCGAGGTGCTTCTGACCATGTCTGTGGTGAGGGACTGCTTTGCAGAATGGAAACAGACTTGTTTGAGCACTTACACATCAATAGCTGTGACACTGACAGACTAGTTCTATCACAGTGTTGTGAAATTAGACATCATCTTAACTGTCTCGCAGGGTTTCGATTTTTTAAGTGCTCAGGGCTTATCTCCTCTATGTTGGTCTCTTTGGATATAAGGTTTAACCTGAAGATTGAGATTGCATCTCCTGTCTCAAGTGCACAGCACAAAAACAAGCTCCTGTGAAGCAGGGCAGCAGGACATTGCCTCCCATTATTTCCACTTTGACCAGAAGACAAACAAACCGATGGATGAATTTCTGCCACCTGCAGAAGTCCTCAGGGCCATCGTGGTAGACTGCACAGGAAACTCTACTTTGATTTTCTTCTTCTTTTTTTATTTCCAGTCATTGTGAGCTAACAGTGGGAGAAAGCACCTGAATCTCCTTGTTCAGAAGATTTCCAGACACTGTAACGAATGCCAAAGTGACATTGAACTGATGAGGTGTAATCAAGCTGTTTTAATGCTCAACTCTGTTGAAATTCTACCCTCTGCAAACAAGCTCAGAATGACTAATGCTACAGCTTTTTGAGTCAACAGACGCAGCTTCTAACATACATGCAATATAACCCTGACTCTTGCTTGTCCTTTTTTTTTTTTTTTTTGAATCCCCTTATGCATTTCTACCAGCACCACCTGAATGCATTGATCCTGAATATCTTAACGGAAAAAATTTGCTAATTGTGCTGTGCACTTGAAGCGACCTATCACAAAGAGGTTTTCCTTGAAATATAAATGACGCCTTCAAAGTTGTTGTCTTTCCATAAACAAATCTATTCTAATGAGGTCTTTTGTGCCAAGCACATTTTCTGCTCCCCAGCGTTAATCCCCTGGCAAGTCTCCTCAGGCTTTCAGAGTAATCGGTAGCATCATTCTCAGTAATCAATCACAGCTCTCCTGAATGAACACAGGCTGTAGTGGCACACGGTCCCACACACCAGGGCCAGGCTAATGAGGCAGCACGAGCTAATGAGGGCTGATTTGATTGAACTCTGGAAAAATAAATTCCCTTCTTGCTCTCCTTCAGCAAATTTGGTTTTGATAGATATAGCAGAGAACCCCTGAACCTTAGGTACACATCACTACAAAATTCTGCCTGTACTTACATTGCAGTACTGTGAACATCGTCCAGGTTTTCTGTTGTAATACAGAAGTATAAAAATGGACAATCCATGCTGGGACAAGAAAGCCATTTGTACTGTATACAGAAAGACACTCAGGCACCCTTTTAAGTACAGTTGAAATTGCCAAGAGGTGAGCACATCCTAGCTCCTGTTTTAGATAGAAAGAGATGTAAACTCTCTGGGGCTGAGTGTGCTTTTCCTGTAAAAATATGCATTTTATAAAGGACTTTGTTCCCTGTACCGTCTGGGAAATGAACAAATGTTGCCACAAATACTAAATATTTCCAACTACATCATTCTGTCTTAACCTATACACTAAAAAGAAAAAATCATAAAATAATAGAATCATTACGATTGGAAAAGACCACTAAGATCACCTACTCCAGCCATCAGTCCATCACCTCCATGCCAGCTAATCATGTCCCTAAGTCACAGAGTTGTTGTGAGTTGTGGTTGATGTATTATCTGTGCCTAATGCTGCTGCTGCTAGATGAAAATACAAACAGAAACAGTAAACTGCACCCCTGCAAATGATGCCGCTAGGCTGAATAATTAGAATTGCATTGTGCAAAACTTGCTGTCATGATGGATTAGAGAAGGCAGTTACACTGAGCTTCTTAAAACCTGCACAGGGCTAACAAACTGCAGCTCCACAGCACCAAAATGTAGAATCCAGTTTTGCTTTCTCTCCTTTTATTTCATTAACACAAAGTTCTCTTGCAATGAATGTCTGCAAACACCATTGTCACACCTGGCAATCACACTGGCAATGGGAATGAAGGGATTTAACAGAGAAATGGAGCCTGAAGGGGACAGCCAGCTAACCAGGAGTTGTACAGAGCATTCCCAGCAGATGTCTGCTTCCCAGACTAAACAGAAAGTCTCAGAAAGCAGGAGGTAACTTAGCACAGCCTTGAAGCTCCTCTGCTTTGCCCTAGAGGGCTGGAAAGTGCAAAGGTAGAGATTTTCCCTCAACCTCAGTCCAGGGACCTGGCTCAGTAAGAACTGAGTCTAGTTTTTGCTTACATTAAGCCTGATTAAGAAACGCATATAAGTTATTTTGCAAATTTGCACTCACACAGAGATTAACGCAATCCAACAGTGACAAAAGTAAGCAAATCAAACTCTTCCTCAGCAACCATTAAAGCTACTGCTTTTCAAATGAAAAATGTAGGACTATGTTTGAGTATGTACAAAAATAGGTGCTGTGTCTGTAAAATGTACATTTGCATAAAAGCCAGCTCCTTTTCTGAGAGCTGTTATAACAGGAAACTTTTAAAATAAAACGCACAACAAATAAATAATTTAGAGATCTAATTTGTATGAATCTTCTTCAAAAATACATGTATGTTGAAGGAGAAGGCAACTGACCATTAAAATACAGAGCCACGAGCTCACTGTGGAAAAAAAGATATTTTTAGTCAAATTAAAAAAAATGTTTTCTATTCAAGGCTTCATATCATGCTGTATTAAATTATAAGAGTGTAAACTGGTTCTGATTTGAGAAGAAATGGCATTGCAAGATGCGATGTGTCAGAAATGTAATTGTATATTGCACACTGATGCTCTGCTTGTCTTCACTTTGTTGGAGGCTGACCAAACTAGGAAGCTCATCATAGCCAGGATAATTTTAACCGTCAAGAGTCCAGTCCCACAGCTCTTAAACACAGAATTAATATTTTTCCCTTGTGTCATCAATACAGCAATTTTTGTTAGTTAAGAATTTACAGGAAATAAATCCCCCAAAGTATAGTTACAGCCACTGGGGATGGAGGGGAGCCCTCTCTCTGAAAATTAGACTGTAAGGTTCAAACCTGCAAAAACATTAGGGGCTGAGGTTGCCCAGAAAAGCTGTGGTGCCCCATCCCTGGAGGTGCTCGAGGCCAGGCTGGATGGGACCCTGGGCAGCTGATCTGGTGGGTGGCAGCCCTGTCCACGCAGGGGTTGGAATTGGGTGGACTTTAAGGTCTCTTCCAACCCAAAGCATTCTGTGATTCTATGATTGATTCTATGACAAAAATAATCTTTTGAGAGTCCTCCCCACTGTGAAGGGAATGTTAATGGCAAGGAAGTCATGCAGCTAAACACATGCTGAGAATCTGGCTCTGAATGCTGATTGTGCCAATCCCCACATTGCCACATCAGTGCCAGGAAAATTACTGACCCTGCTTCACTGAATCTCTTCCCTTCCCTTCCTCCAGGGAACGTGACTTGTTCCTAACACACATCTAACCTCTCTTGTGAGACAACAGCCTCCTCTTCTCCCAGTCTCACTGACTTCTATGCCATAATGGCCAAAGCCTGCTGTTCAGGCAGCTGGAACATTGTGAAGTACTAACAAAATCTAGTCATACAGGAAGGGCATTCCTTTTACCTGAATTTGGACAGGTTTGTATGCATAAGCTGTACTGCTTCAGCCATTCCAACACAAACTGGTATTGCCAACTTGGAAGGCATTTATGTTGCACTGAAGAGCACTGAAAAAGAAATACTTCTATTAGCTTTGTAGGTTATCCCTATGTATCTTTTCACTGCCAAAACAGAAAAATAACTCCTGAGTGGCCTACCTACAGCAACAGTGACTTCTGTTTGGAGAATAGACACCTGGTGAGCTTGTATCTTGGAGGTCTGAGAGTTACAAGACAATGCTGGAAAACAAGCAGACCTGAGAGATCCTCACTGTGCCAACAAAACCTCACCAGCTGTCTATGTTGTTCAGAAATTAGGTTATCTTCTACCTAGAAACTCAAAGCTTTAACTCATCATAACTGCTGAATGTCAGTGCTCAGGAATAGAACTCTTCAGGAAAAATAGAATCATGAAGGTTGGAAAAGACCACTAGGATCATCTAGTCCAACCATCAACCCATCATCACCATGCCCAGTAACCACATCCCTCACTGCCACGTCTACACGTTGTATGAAAACCTCCAGACAATGATTCTACCACCACCCTGGGCAGCCAGAAAAGCCAGTTCTTGATTCCAAAGCACTACTGGTTATTGAAAGAAAAGTGAATGATTATTCTGAATAGGTGACAAATCCAAAAGCAACAAGAAAAAAAAAAAAAAAAAAAAGAAAACTAATAATAAAGCTCAGCAATTCACTCAACAAACGTCCTAGAAGGCTTACCTGAGATTAGATGATGAATGCATGAACTTTTTGGTCCTGCACTTAATTCAACCTCTACTTCAACTCTAAGCTCTTCTTATTAACCCACAATATGGCTGTTTATTTGGTGTTGTCTGTCAGGCTAAAGAGTATTTAATGGTGGATAAAAAATTGAATGAAAAATTCAAGAGAGAGCAAATTGAGAGAAGAATTCACCAAGTGAATCACTTTGAGAACAGTGAGCCTTCCAGCTAGCACAAGGCTCCTTCTGTCCATATACCTGAAGGTCTAATGTAGCTGGTCAAGACTGTGAAACATTGACTATGGAGGGCTTCTGACTTGCAGAGGTTCAGTACCATGAGTTGGAGGGGAAAGAAAACCACACGGTGTACTCTCCTCCTGAAATTGGGTTGCCAAGGGAAAATATGAAAGAAACAAGCAAAACCTCATGAGACCTCTGGTTCCCTACAAGTGGCTTTGTGCTTTCAATTGATACTGTTCTGAAAGTTGTCTGCTGTATGTCTATTTGGATCTGCATGCTATATCTGATACAGAATACAATTTTTAGATTCTGTATGTTATGAGGGGAAAATAAACAGCATGGAAAGACATGTGGCAGGGGGGTTGGAGATTCATGATCCTTGAGGTCCCTTCCAACCCTGGCAATTCTGTGATTCTGTGAAAGCACCACTGTCCAGCTTACACAGACTTAATAACCATATTTCTCCAAGTTTTCAGCTGGTCTTGCTAGCTTGCTTCATTGACTTCATAGTGGAGTTATTCCAGCCTACACTAGCTGAGGCTGTAGCCCACCAGATTACACATTGCCATGTGAAAATGCTTAGTGGTACAGTTTATTTTCTCATTTGTAGACCCTGCCAACTGGCACAGCCCTCTTATGTCTTTCTTCATTTGCTGTCCTCTGAAAACATCTTCTGTGTTGTCTATAGACATTTTGCTTTTCCCTTGCCAAATATTAGCTTTCTGACTGAGCACTTCCTTTGATTCCTTTTGAAATATCTTCACAACTTTACCTTTCTCCCAACATAATGCCCTTTGATTTCTATTAAGCAATGTTGTATTGTTTTTACGTGCAGTATGATTAAGAGAAAACAAGTTTATTTTTGAAAACATTTATGCAGCAAATGAGTTCCAGTGATTATAAATAATAAAGAAAAACTAAATAATGCACTCCTTCCCATGAGTCATATGTAGGTTGGCTACTTTTCTGAATTCTCCTCCTAAAAAAAGAACTTTGCTTTCATTGAGAAGACAAAAGCTGTCCTATGAAGGCACCTCAGAGCTATACAGTAACGTGTGAAAAATCATGGCTGTGCCAGAATGAGGTGTTGAACTTGAAAACACTTGTGACAGATACAGAAGGCAGTCTCCCAGTGATGCTTGTGGGTTGGTCCATCCCACAAAGGCCTGTGCCCCTCTAATGAGGGCTGAAATTAGCTCCTTTACGAATGATATAGATAGATAGATAGATAGATAGATAGATAGATAGATAGATAGATAGATAGATAGATAGATAGATAGAGGATGTTTTTCCTAATGATCTAGGTGCAAAAGTGCAGGAAATCTGGGCTCACTCTCCACTCTCCATTCTCTTTGACTTAAGGGACATCTAAGGTTGCCCGCTCCTTTCAAGACACAGTGTCTTTTAGCTTTTAACTTTCAGGCTTTGGACTTTAGGGCTGATAAAATGCTAGATTATAGCCTTACTCCTTCAGAATGAATGCTAACCCCCCCGCCCCCACCCTGTAGCCACACTGATGTCAGTGGGAGGACCTAAGAACTAATATTCCCTTTGCTGTGATTGAGGGTACTAGATTCTGATGTGAAATTACATCAGAATTATTTTCTTCTGTTCTTCTGCTTTTCTCACCTGAGTTCTGTGGTCTAAATAAACTGAAAAAGCTTTTCTATCATATAAACACTATCTTACCTCAGTGATGCATAGGGTACTCATACCAAACTACAACCTGACCTTCAACAAGCCTGCAATAATTGACCCTCACAGCTGTGTTCTCATGGCTTCTGGGATCCTGCACACTACTCTGGAAAGACAGGTTGGTCATTCTGCCAAAGATCATTTATTTATTTATTCTTCCTGGAACATCCAGTCATCCTGAAAGACTTCTTCCAGGACTCCTAAAAGAAGGCAACTTTACTGGTGTGGCTGTGCCATGTTCTACCTAAGGTACAGCAGCTCTTCGGAAAGATACAATTCACTGGTCATGTCAGTCAGTACTGTTTGCTGCTCCCAGTCTGATCTTTTCTGCTTTTTGGGTCTCTTGTCCTCCCCAGGAACACTATGGAAATGACCACAGGTCCCTATCCATGACCAGAGTGCCACAGTACAGGGCAACGAATCAACAATCAATTCTTAGCTTCGAAGCACCGCTCTGAGCAGAGATGCTAAGGCCCAGCACAAGGAATTACTTGAACCTTCCACCCCCGTGGCAGTGTGGGATATTCAAGCAGCTCTTGGGTTGTTGGTCCTCAACGTGTTTTAAGACCAGGCCCATATCTAGGATATTATATAAGGTTTGGATCACTTAGTGTGAATAAACAGTGACTCAAAAATAAACAGTGAATGTGGTATGCAGGGTAGATGACTTCTAACAGCAAACGAAGCAGACTTGATATTGAGACAAGGTGTTTCTCTCCTGGAGGATGTCATTCGATTCAGTCTATGCTGGTAAGACTATTAGAGAAGACAAAATATATTGCAAAAGATCAAGAGCTGAAAAAACATTTAAGCATAAAAGCAGGGGTGGCATTGAGGCCATACAGAGAGAGCTCTTCTTTTTTGCTTGTAAACACAGCGCTGGTAGTTTAACTGAATGAAATGGAAACATTGTGTATAATACAGAAAGAGGAGTTGGGGCTGACTTTGGTGACTTTCTAATAGCTGCCTGGCCAGCTGGCATAGCTGATCACTAAATACCATCAATCTTTTGCAGGCCACAGTCAAGGAGTAAAGAGGACACAGTTCACTCAGCTGGGAATGCTTGCAGGGCTCTGAATGCTTGAGGCCTTCCAAAAACTATTGCTTTTCCTCTTCTCATATCCAGCATCTTTTCACCTCTGTTTTCTTCTAGACTCTGAAATTTACTTGCTGGTCTAGTTCTTACTAACTTCACAGTGTTAATCAAGAAGCAGAGCTTCAGCTAATTTTGATTTTAATTATTTATTTATTTTAATCTAGAGGAATTAAATTCTAAGGACTTCTGGTAGTTTTTGATCTCTTCCTTCCAATGCTGAACTTTATACTGGGTGAAACAGGAAAAAACAATAACAATAAACAAACAATCAAACAAACAAACTCACAAAAAACACACAAAGAAATCTGCCTTTGGGAAAAAAAATTCAGTATTGGCTGGTCCCGTGCCTTGATCCTATGACATATTTCACCTCAATTTGAGTCATTGCAAGACTCGTGGAACTGCAATCAAATTATTCTAGTGTATATGCAATTCACACCCATATAGCCAGCTATGGGCGTCCCACAAAAATAAATCAAATAAAGCTGTACAATGGGAAAAATTCATTTTACCCTGAAGGTATGCAGAGCTGAAAAAATATGTCTGAGACCTCTACTACAATAATGTATCGTGCATAGCAAACAGCTTGGAGAAACAATAACAATCAATACATTGAAGACAAGGTATCCAAAACAGAGCTGTAAATCTAAGCATCCCTAATGCCACAATACTTCTGCAGCAAGTCTGACAGACCTGTGGTGCTTTTATGGATGCAGCCTTGTCATACCTGAGATTTTCACAACCTCCCTTAACTGACTCATTGTAAGACCAGGAAGATGTCAGTGAAGGGAAGAACAGGAGAGTTCTTCTAAGGAAAGGTGGAAGGCAGACCCATTTTACATCCTACCAAGCTGCTGTGGATTTTCAGTTTGAAATATGCAGTCTCACTCCCAGTCATGAATATGCGCGCATGTGAATGTTTCAGAAGACCTACAAGCTCACCTTACTGCAGTTGCATAGATTTAGCTTGCTGCATGATCCTTGAAACACTGGTCAGCTTGTTTTGCAAGTAAAACACACAGAATCACCATATGGAATTTAAATTTCCACTAAAGAACAAAAATGCACCTACCCATTGTGGTCGTTCAGGAAATCTCCCTAGCAGAACCCAACTGTGCAGTGTTTCCTTTCTTGAGTCTGAAAAGAGCCTGAAACAATACCCATCAGAGAGGTAAGCTGCCCAAACTGCTTGTTTCCATTCAGATTTTGACTCAAAACCCTATTGACACCATTATAGATGTCAACATTTGATACACAATACACGAATATATTTTAGCAGATGGAGATGAATGGAAATGAAGCCAACATGCTGTTGAGGCTCGGTTCAGAATTACTGGGAGGAGGAGAATTGGGAGAGGAGGGGTGCCAAGAAGGAAGTAGAGCAGAAACAGAGAAAGGAAGATAGGAAGGGAGGAAAAATCACTCCCACCCTTGGTGAGGTGATTCTGCTGAATCAAGCACTGAGGAGTAAAAGAAAAATAAACAATGCATTACTTGCTACAGCAAACGATTAGGCTTTGCTTTTGCTCTTTGTATAGAGCTCCCTCTGAGATCAGCAGGTGTAGACAGAAGGCGATGCGTTTGCTTAGATTCACACCACAGCCCCTTCTTCACTGTCAGGCATGGAGGTTGTTCTCCTCCACAGGATGAACGGGATGTCCCTAATGTTACAGACAGCTCAGATAAAACAGCCTGCTAACCACCCATTTTGAATTAACAAGAGTAACTCACAGTGTAAATCCAATAGCTCTATGGAAGCTACAAAATGGCACTGAAGTTTTGATAGGGTTTTGTTGTAACTAAAAATTATGGTCCTAGATTAAACAGATGTGTGATGTGTGATGCTACCATTCATCACCCTGTGAAGGAATGAGTACCTTTTTAAAAAAACTCAGTTAAACAGCAGAAACACATATAGTAGGGACAAACTGACAGCAAAATAGTCCTTCCAACCTGCAGATGGAAACCGTATTTCTAGAATCTAATAAAATGACAACTGTATTTCTAGAATCTGATAAAAAGATGCCAGAGGCCAAGGATGAGAGTAGATGTGTGAGCAAAAGGTAAAAAAAAAAGATTTTACAACGGAGGGACCAGGATACCAAGAACTTACTGTTCAACATGTATAAAGCAGGCTCACAGTGTGATTTTCAAGACCCCCTTCACATTTTCTAAAGAAGAACAACTGTGAATTCTCTCCCTATTTTCTGTTCCTATAGTGTTTATGAACTGAACATTTGCACTTCTTTTCTTAGACAAAGGTGATTTTTCACAAAGTCTCTGCATTTAAAGGACAAGTACATCAATTCACAACATTCACTATTCTTGTGCTTTTCTTTCTTTCTCCAAGTACAAAAGAAGAATCAAAATTTAATATTCAACAGTCAACTTTTCTAGGGGACCCTTTTTCATGAGATCTTTTCTGTTCCAGAGCTTTGGTAGCTCCGTTTTTATAGAGCAGATTGGTTTGCCTGCTTTTGGTCTCAGATTTGCTTGTCTAGCTTTCAGCAGGTGCTATGCACAAGCATAAGTCTGACAAACTTAATTTGTGTTAAGAAATAATTTTCTGTTGTCATAGAAACCCATGCAAGATGATCCAGGCATGAGCAAAAACGTAACAAAGGTACGCTGACTGGTGCTTCTGCCAATGAAATTCCCCTAGTTGTTTGTGTCCCACCAGTAATTTCCTCACACCCTATGGCAAAAAGGGCAAAAGGATCTCATCTTGTCTGCTGAGGGGGACAATTTGCCTGGAGGGTGACCACAGTGCCTTAAGGAGGCCACATTCCCCTGTCCAGAAGAGGGTTTGTAGCCACCAGTTCTGCCATGGGAAGAAAATAAATGTTTTCTTTCAAAAAAGGAACAAAACTGCAATAGAAATCCCCAAAACTAGTTGTAGAGACCTCCATGATACCACAGAAAGAGAGAGAATGCCTTGCTTCCATTATGCCAGGGGTCTGCTTCTCTCAGCAGGAGTGAATTATGCCCACATCTTAATGTTTGCACAGCTTTTGTCATCCAGAAATAAGTTTTATTTCCATCAGAGAATACATCCTATGAACAGAACAGTAACAAGGGAGTAAAAGAATCAATGAACATTGGTCATCATGACAAGTTTGTCTCCAGTTGCCTTCACACAGCACACCCTGCCATTCTAATGACTCCCTACCTGATATAAATGGATACTTATGGGAATTTCTGGGCAACCAAAGCACTGAAACTGTGCTACAACACCTGCACTCAACCTCAGCCATCAGAGACATTTACAGCCAAGGCTTGCAACAGCAGTGAACACCTCTTATCCTCGCCACTGCTGCCGTCGTACTGACTCAACTAGATTCTTTCCCAAGGGAAATCTCTGTGCATCTGCTAGTGCTGATTTGGCTTTCAAAAGGCTTTCAGCTAAAAGGTTATTGCTGTGGCTCCATGGCCTTACAAAGGGCAAAAGAGCAAAAATATTACTGCAAAAAAGTCAGAAAATCTGTAACATTTTGTGCAGACTTGGAGTTCCTCTAAGCAATGACTGGAAGAAGAGCAAAAGGATTCCCGTCCTCAGTGCTCCTCTGGTGCAATTAGTACTGGAAACACTCCAAAAAGACAAGGACATGGATACATTACAGCTTCTTTTTGCCCCTAATGCTGATTAGTCGCAATATGTCAATAATTAGAACAGAGTTTAGTGAACAAATATTACCTCTTTTTCTGCTGCTGTACTGTCCAGAAAGTCTTATTTTTCCCTTATTGGCTATCATTTGAAAATATTTCCCAGTAATGTCTCCGAGTCCTTTTTGATCTGAAGCTTGCTCATGTTCCTTTTGCAAGTGTTAGAGACAGAGGCAGGTCTGGCATCGCTTCTGATTTCCAATAAGGTGAAAGCAGATTTTAGTGCTGGGTGTGCCAGTGAATTCCAAACTGGTATTTTCCAGTGTTCTCTGTAAAATGCATTTTTGTGGGCTATCTGTGCAGCTTTACCTTTGCTAATAGAGAAAAAGAAAGACAGAACACAAGGAACAGGAAGACAGCTGAAGTATACTAGTCTAATGATTTATGTGGATATTGGTAGGCATTTTTGACAGGAGTCTAGTTACAAGAATCTGAATAGAAAGCCTGATTATTTCCTTCTTTTCTCAAGAAAAAGGTGAGTAGGGGATGGAAAATGAACATAATTTAATTATCATTGTTATTGTTGTTAGACTGTAACTGCCTATCTGCCACTTCCTCCCTATGTGCGTATATACACCTCTCTTTTTATGTTCACTGCCTGTCCTCAGCTTGTCTTATACAGGCATCTCGTTATGTCTCATTATCACATCTCATTCCCATGCTCTTTATAGTGCAAAACAAGGTGTGTATTTGGCTATGAAAATGCTGGAGGGGGTGTGTGCATTTTGCATGCGAGATGCTGCATTAACATGTCAATTATTTCTCCTTCTCTTTCTTAGGCTTTGCAGATGAATCCTGGATGTGCCCCAGCTGGAATTCTGCTGGCACTGGAGAGGCTCAGATTTAGACACCACATTCTCAGCACAGGTCCACTGGCTGTGATTCATATCCTGTTATCAAACAGGGACCCAAAGCTTTCTTTCCAACATGCTGAAAATCTGGTTTAGAGATAAGCACATTATGTGGGTTGCTGGGAAAGGGTTGTCTTTGCCAGATGAACTTTACTCTGAGATCTCTTTTTTTATTTTCCCCATAGGAAAGGCTGCTGCCTATTGTCCAGTCCAGCTACTGGAAAACGGATAGAGGGGGGACTACAGGGATCTAGTTCATTATTATGTACCCACTGATGCTGGCTGGGCATGCAGCTTCTACATGTTCCCCAACAGTGTGGATACTCTCAACTTTCCTGCTGAGATGCTCCTCTGTTTCTGAGGCTGTGGGCCTCACCTGACCACGGCGGAGAGCAGAACAAAGGCCCTGGATGCATTATGAATGGGACACTCCAGCTATGCAGCTGCAAGGAGGGGCAGTATCTTTAAAAAGCAGGTGTAAGCACAGCACAAAACAACAATTTCAGGGAGCTTATGCACCAGTTAAAATTCATACTGGTCAGGATGGATAACACATATCCTAAAAAGATACACTAAAAAGAATTCATCCAAATCATTTACATCGGTACATTGCCTGGGGCACAACTGACATATTTGCAGAGTAGCGTATCAGCAAGAAGCTGGATTGTGACGAGCAGACAGATTACAGTGGGTGACTGAAGATGATCTCCCATTTGCCTGCCAACCTGTGACTAAAGGCCATCGCTCCCTGGGATGCACTCATCATGCTTTTAGCTGACCATTTCGAGTGAGGACAGCACTCTGGCCCTGTGGTTCACTGGAAAAGGAGCATGGAGCATCTGGGATTAGTATAGTGCTGAGGTCTGTGGGATGTACTGATAGCCACAGATATACATACACATATATTGTACATACAGACTTCAGAATTATTGACTGCTGTGCAGAAGAAGAGGAGCTAACCACCTCTTCTAGATCCTCTTTGATTTGTGGCGACAAAAATCTCCACTTTTCTTTGAAAATCAGCATAAGGTAATATTGTTTACATGTGTTGTTTTCTATCCCCTTGGGTTCTTGCGTCTGAGATACGTCCACTTGCTGGAAGATGTAGAACACATCTCAGCCTCACAATAACAACTGTACTTTGAGACTGTCATTAACCAGCAGAAATGGGAGGCCGGCATATCCCAGATATGGAAGAAGAGGATAGGGAAAAGATCTGCTCTGTGTGAGAACCAAAAATTTGGAATATATTTCAGCAAACTTTAACCAATTGACCTTCCCGCTGGATATGTGCTGGGCTGTGGCCTCATTGAGAGATTCCAAATTAATCACATGCCTCTTCAAAAGGTGTCTCAGTGAGGTTTTTCTGCAGAGACTATTGATGTGCTGCCAGCTCTCTTGGACTCCCTGGTAAGTATAATGGCAGGATTTTTAACATGTTACAAAAAGAGGTGAAGTTTAAACACAATTTCAGCACCAGTCTAGCTAAATCTATCTCTCAATCAATCTCGTTCCACTGCCTCCACGATCAAACCATGCACAGAAGAGCCTTAAGAACTGAAATAATGAAACCCCAAGGAAGAGCAGCTTATAATGAAAACAACAGGGCTGATAATTAAACTTCTCGCAACGATCTGAGCTGGCAGTCAACTCAGCCAGCAAATAGAGAGAGAGAGAGACCAAATTCTCTGCTATCTGTCTTTGGGACTGATCAGCCTTAATGATCTTTCACCCTATCTATTAATATGGGCTGAAAGGTTCTATTCTGGCAGCAGGCAAAGCTGTTTCCAACTGGCACACTCCTCCTTTCTCCTTGGAGTTTCCCCCAGTTGATTTTTAAGAAGCCATTTGATATAAAACCCTGTGTTTGCCTCTGGGCTCCCAGCTCATTCCTATCTCATTACCTCAGTTTTGATGCCCGCAAGACATTCTAATAAGAATTAATTCCCCACCTGTGAAAGCCCTAATATGCATCGCACAGTGATGTTAATGAAAAACAGTATGTGCTGTAGTATTTGATTCCCGAGCCCTTGTGATTAATTGTGACAGCAGCAATAACAGTCAAACATTTATTTTATGTCAGCTGCAGATTGACAAAATATTCATCTAGTATTATTCCAGTATAACTCATACCTTTAAATCCTCAGGTGAATTCAAATGTGGCTCCTCTAGCCAATACAATCTCTACATAATTAATTGTACCTGGGACCCATTTTTTAAGATACACCCAGCTATATGAAAACTTGCAGTGTGTTTTTGCAGAAATGATTATTGCTTCATTGTTTTGCTTAGCAGCCTAACATCACTCACTTTCATTTTTGCAACTGGCATTTGCATAAGTTGGACTACAACTTCTCTAAGAGCTCTGCATATCCAAAGCTCTTACTATCACGAGGATCCAGTATAAAATGTATTGACCTTCTGTGCTTATTAAGGTTCTTTTAACTTGCACTTTGAGCTGCTTGGAATTCGTGAAGTGTTTTATCCTGACAGGATGATAAAGAGGTAGCGAGCAGAAGGGGATGAACTGAATCAACAAGAGACAAAGTGAATTACAAGTTGCCCAAACAATCAGGCCAGATAGCTGGAAATCAAGGGCAAGCTTCCTTGTGACCTGTGCTGCTTCTTTCCAAGCACTGCATCCTCTTTCCAGCTTCTTCTGGGAAGAAATTCTTCATGTGAGTATTTTTGGATTCACTAACGCAGTTTTATTAGTTTTTAGAATTCCTTTTTGGTTTTTCTTTTTGCAAAAAAAAGCCTTTAGCCAGAAGTGCTTTAAGATTCCTCCTTCAACCTCATGAATCCAAGGCAGGGTCTGAGCGTGAG